AGTCTGGCCAAGTGGATGCAAGGTATTTTGCGTAGGCAACTATTAATAAACACTCGTATCTTCTAGATGATTGCTTTCTTAGTTACCCACGTTTCCGCCCCATACAGTAGAACTATCTCGACATTTATAATGAAAATTCTGACCTCGGTGTTGGTTGACAGTTGTTTTGAGTTCCAGATGTTCTTCAGGTGCCGCTCTTGCAGATCCTTCTTGCTAATCAAAAAAATATTTCACATAATTGATAGACTGTATTGATTTGAACATCCATTAAACCTACTATGAGTATACAATAAAACTAGAAAAATTGTTACAATAATCCATTTTCATTATGCAGACCCACTATGCATTTGATTATACAAGTAATACACAGGACCAGAAATCACAACAGTAGGAATATAATTAGGTCATTTTTAATGCTAAGCTAAATAATTGACCATTATATAATCAGTTACAAATTATCAATGCTAAAAGATGCATTCAATGAATAGTAAAACAAAAGATGAGATGGTTAACGGCTAGCAGTGAAATCCTGGGCGCGCGTTTCGTCCTAACTGGGACTCGTCAGCTCGGTGTACCTGCATCTCGGAGTCGGTGTTCGCTCTAGGATTCGAACCCAACACTGTTCACTTCAAACGCCTTCGTGTTATTCATTTAGTTACTGAGTCCTGAGTCACTTGTTAGTGCAATGGGATGAAGTTTCAATTCACTTCGTAATATTTACTTTAATCTTCCCATTGGTGTTAAGGATTGCAACTGATCCGTCTCTTGTTGGCGTATGTGCATACTGTACGCTTGCCTCGATATTGACCTAATTCACAAGCATTCTAAGCAAAGATTGATAGTGCCTAGCAGCGTAATCTGAGGTGCGCGTTTCGTCCTATTTGGGACTCGTCAGTTGGAGGTAGTTGCATCTCAGAGTGAACAAAATCAAATGAATTTAAAACAAAAGTTAATTTACGATAATGGCTAATCCATTTTCGTAACCTAATATTACTTGTTATATAACCTGTAATTTATATTTTTCAAAATACTTTAATAATGTTTACATATACATATTTTATTACCAATTTAATTGGTTATCCTTAATTTAGTGATACAAAGTGTAGATTTCCAGATTTTGTTTAAATTAATTAAATCCTAATAAAAAACTACTCAGTATCACAAATTGATTTATGTCAATTAAACAAATAACTGTATTTAAATAAAACTGATTTATAAGGAAAGATAGTATTACTTCATGAATTAATCCTATGTTCAGTATTGAATGTGTTTCTGTTGTATACCGATGAGAATAATGAGTGGTAACTGTTGGGGTCTATTTTTGGATCAGTAGGATGCATATAATTTTATTTTATAATTACTAACTCGTTAAACTATCTGCATATTCATGTTCCTCTCATTATAAGCTTTATTTTGACTTGTAGACTATTATTTTACGATTTGCCGTTCCTGATTTGTGCCCAGCCAATTAATGACAATCTTACACATTCATAGGAACATTTGGTTAAAACTTGTACAAGTGTTGCTTTCTATTTTGTGGTGCAATGTGGTCTGTTTGATTTGTATATAAATCCAGTATGTTTGAAATAAATGATTCATATCGTGGAAGCTGAGACAGGTGTTCTGAAATCAGTAAGCCGGGCAGTTAGAAGAACCGATAAGTACTTTAAACTGCTTGTACTGGTTTTATGTATCATTGGTTCGGCCAATAAGTCACTGTTCTGCAATTGGCGGTATCATTACGTCGTGTTATAATAGGGCACAAGACCACACGTTATAACGGTTTCATTTTGATAGACTTGTTTATTTGTTTAAAATGAAATAAAATTTTGATGATGTGTCGATTGTATCAGCTAAAAAATAACTGGGAATAAAAAAAAGTAGGGATGGAATTCTGGACATGCATTTTATTCACTTTGGAATTTGTCAGCTGGATGTACCTGCATCCCGACGTTGATGTTCACTGCTACTTAATAGTACTCACGTCAATCATTATCGCGTTATTCATTTAGCTTCTAATTTCAAATAGCCATTTGCTTGAACAATACGCTGTAACTTAAGCAAAGTATGGACTTATTAGCTAGGTGGGTAACGGGATAAAAATGTGAGTAAGTGTTACTGAGTTCGAGTCCGCGATGCAAGTCCTGTGATGCAAGCACATATAGCCGAGGATTTCCAAATAGAACGATATGCACGTCCAGGCTTTCAATGCTACCGTCATTTATATCTTCTTATAACGCTTGCGACCTAGTAGCAATAGTCAGCAGTCGGTATGGTATGCAAATTTACTTAAAAGAAACTGATCAGTTACAGCTCCAAATTCTAAGAGAAATATTCAAGCAGCTGATGCATACAGTAACAGTTCATTTGATAATATTCAATCAGTAAACTTTCAACTAGTAGAAGATGGGCTTCAGCACCCATTTTTCATTTTGTTTGAAACTCGTAAACTAAACTCGTCAACTAAATATCTTTACGTTAATTAAATCGGACGATGTTATCAATGGATTCACCTCTTTTAGTAGCTCGGTATCTGACTCTAATTGGACCGTATGAATCATTGTTATTAAAATATGTATGTCGTCAATCCTCGTTAGTGAATAACGGAATTAAATAAGTCAAATACGAGAATGGATATTTCAATAAGTACATTGTGTATACATGTTGATCTGGATAGACATTCAGAGAGACGGAGGGGAGAAAAGAGAGCGAAATTATGCACAGTGGAGAGGGAGTATGAACCAACTCCCTTTAATCAAGCGTTAATAAACATTTATAGTCACACAACAGGAAGTTGAAGACATGTCATGAGTAATATAAGAAGTGCACACATACATTCACTCATATAAAAACAGTCAAAGCTGATAAGTGAACAATTAACAAGATCAAAATATGACTTAAGAAGAATGGGTAAACTGGCCTGTTCTGATGCTAGAATAAGTTATATGGGCTTTAACAATATAACTGACATTACAAAAAATTAGGATATCCATTACAAAAGTCCCAAATAGAATAAATCGGGCATACTCGACACATCTACTAGTATTTACTTAAAAGTATGGCCAACGTGTAGCTACTGAGAATATAAAATTATTTGTGCAGCGATGGTACTTACTAAAGGATAGTGATCAAATGTAATCCCAAGTACTAAACTTGTGGAACCAAAAATCCTAAAAATTAATTTTTGTTCATTTGATGTCTTCGATAACTGTATATACATACTGTTATATACTTATAGATTTCATCCTAGCTTTTAAACGGACTCCACTAAATCAGATGCTTTGTGATTACTGAGTCATTTATACCTTACCAGTGACAATTCTTTTCATAGGAAATTGTGATTTTAAGCATATAAACGTTTTATACCCATGTCCTTGTAAATTTACGTCTAAACGTCTTATGCTTACTTTTGTGTGCGTACATTTATTATTATACGCAATTCCAGTTTCTTTGTCACACTCTTCACTCTTCTGGCGAGTAATGATTCTGAGTAGACTGACTGATAATTTATTAACTGTGGAAATGAAGTGCGAAAAATTGCGCACGACTGCAAAGTTCACTGATTCTGATACACGTGCACCAAATCTGAAGACCTTGGAAACAAACGTAAATTCTCCTACCGCTGCTCAACTCAAAAAGCTGAAGGGAAGAATCGATAAAGATTTTCAGTGCAGAATTACCAAACTGTACGCAAGAGAAACAATCATGACGTTTTTTGAACAAAATTTCCTCAAGCAACGAACGTTTGTAGTCTGTTAATGTTACACATTGTAGAGAAACTGTTTACCCACAACCTACGAAAAGCCCAATAAAAATGGTTGATGAGTCTATGATTCATGTGCAAGTTAGTCACAATAACCCATACATTACAAGGACCAAGGTGAATCATTATCAATTTCTGATGTTGATTCAAACACTAATGAGTACATTCTAGATCGTGAAGAGTCTATGCATAATTCACAGCCGGACATACATAATATTGGGCTATAGAGATGTGTAACAAACTACGGGAATGTAAATTCCTCTAGAAGCTGTATCAGTTTTGGCATTTGTACAAGTTGGTAGTTTTTGTTCTTGATCGCCCTCTTATCACGAACTCTTAGTATAACAAGTCCAGTTGCGCACATGCATTAAATCTCGCTTTTTAGAATTCTTTCGAAGTGGACCAGTTCTTTAGTTCCTTAAGTTCATCATGTATTTCTAACCGTGTATTGATCATAGATTCTTTATAATCCTGAATGAACTCCATAGTATTATAATTAAAAGCGGAAGTTGGAACGACTTTACCGGTTCCTGGAATTGTATTTGTTCAACAGGTTGGTTGTGTGTAGTTAAAAAGTTGGTTTATAGAATTCGCACTACAAGTTTTCTAACATACCTCACGACAATTCGCGTGACTAGTGAGAGAGAGTTTCCACGATAATTTTGAAGCACCAGCACATTGTTCTATAGAGTTCTAGACAATTCACTGGTGGAGGTTGTACTAGTATACAATCTGCAGTTTCGACAGGTTTGTTTTTTGATGTTGAATTTGTTTGACACTTCTTTGGTGCATTGGATGTCCAGATTTGAAATGAGCAATTGGCGCGACGAGAAAAATTAGGAATAAAGACGTAATAATATTAAAGAGCACCTACTCATAATAGGTGATACGATTCTCAAGCCCCGTTCAAACTAACTGATAGAAGGAGACATGAATTAATGTTGTTTCTACAATTTATAAATTAGTCATGAAACGTTGCATCAATTTTTCCGTGTCATAATGTGTTCTACTCTTAGGTGATAGCCTCTAAGATTTTTAGTGACTATGTAGTGAATGAGAATTTTAGTGGGGAGGAAGATTTTATTGTTTAATGACAAATTACGCAGTGGCCCAGAGAAATACGAAAATCACACACTAAATGCATCATTTACGATTCGTTTTTGCGTTGTCATCATTCTTCTAGTTCTGTTGTTATGTGATTGCTCTCTGAATATTTCCTATTTTAGCTACTGGTACTATGCCAAGCCCACGTAAGTTATTCTAGCTCATGTATATGTGCCAATAATTTTCACATGTGTCTGTAACGTTATTTTATCTGACTGCAAATATCTAGTTACATCTTGCTTCGTTTCCTTGAGTGTTTATCCAGATTAACGATTATATGAAATATACAAAATTGAAATTCACTCTTGCATTTGACATATTTAATTCGGCTATTTACTAACGTGATTTGACTAGTTAATCATATAGAAGGGTAAGCGGTATGTATATTTCTGTAGCAATCATCATATGATCTGACTTGAGTCAGATGGAGGACCTCTAAACTGTATTGTTTGATTTAGACTTCTGCTTCTAGGCATTCCATTTTCGATTCGTGCTACACAATGCATATATCAAATTGATCATACCTGTAAACTGGCGTGAATTCTGTAACTATCATTTTTTCAGAATATAAATTATTATTATTATTATCTATCAGCAAACGTGGCATGCAGAAGATTAAGACATAACAGCGTTATTTATTTTTTCGTATCACCAACCGATTTTAGGTATGTCATCATTGAAAACTGGGAAGCAGTGGATAGCTATCTTTTACAATAACGGAACGCTTCAGGGAATGAAACCCAAGCTAAAACGAACCCAACCGATCGGAATAAGCTAAGAGATTCAACTGCAGTATTTATAAACAAACAGCATTCGACCGAAGCAACGAATTCGTTGACTGTGTTTGGGAACCGATACCGCAATCCTTTGTTATCAGAAAAGGTAATGAAGATTCGTGATACAAATATTAGACCTTTCATCATACGGTATGAATGTACAACAATACAAATGTTTATGTGTTGGCTCCCACACTTCTTGTGAAGAATTTATTCGCCCAACCAAGCAAAAACCCAATAATACTACTGTATCTCAGCTCGAACTATTAACCTTGGGAAACTAACGTTTAGCTGATAAATATTTTCCATCAACTACTCCTGCTATTGTGGGGAGACTGAATTCATTTCGAGGTAAAATGTAACACTTTCGTGAGCTTAATAAGACCGATTTTTAAACTTAGGTTACTTTAGAAAGGCCCATTATTAAATCTTTTCATAGGTACAACTACCGCAATATGCGATGAAATGTATCTGTATTGAATGCTCTTACAATGGTGGCACTAAAGAAGAAAATGATAGTGTCTTGATAAAACAATCATTGCAGCAAGACAGTTATGAATCCAAATAATGATTTTTGTATCAGGTCGTTCAGTCAATCAACTTCTAGATGAGGAAGACAATGAATAGGACACGAACTAGTAAACAGTCATATACAGAAAAGCACATAAGTAACGATGTAGAAATCTGGAGTGTTGCAGTTGTTAGTAGCTTAGAAATACTATGAAGATAAAAATGAGTTTTTGGTGACATATTGTTGTGATTAATAATATCTACACGAAAGTTTACAAATTTCATACTGGCTAATTACTTCCCATTTCAATATAGGGATGTGGAGATTGTTAAATTTCATTTATATCACGAATCAGTCAAAGTTGAACAATCAGTGGAAATTTCGAAGCACTAGACAGCTGTCCCGTAGCAGTCTGTAGCTCATTGGCTAAGCGCATTCAAAACCTTGAATCTTGGAATCAAATCTAAGTCCTTCAGCCTCGAAGTCGAACTCTTAATCTTCGTACTACTGAGACGAAGTATAATGGCGTACTGGTTCAACTTCAATCATCCACTAAATTGTGCAGTAACTAGCAGACTTGAATTCTGATATGACAATAGGGATCGTCCCTTCCCTTCCGAAACTTGTGTAGATCGGATAATAAATTGTACAAAGTACAGCCTTTACAGGCTCGTAGTTAAATATTTGCGGTTTCAAGGTCGCCATGAACTATAGTGGTTGTCAACGTGTTCGCCGCGCGTAGTCAGTTACTCGGAAAATAGTCAGAAGAAGTAATTAAAACTTTTTAGCTACGTCAAGGATATAAATAGGAAGTTTCACAGGACTTATAAACCGTCGCGTCACATAGACTTAGTGTGAAGAATGTTAAACCCTGAGATGTTTCTTGACTCGGATACAGGAAATGACCTTATGCAAGACACAGTTGTTGCCTTCACTTCACGACATTTGACAGAAGCAATTGAGGGGCAAGTATTGTACCAGGAAAAATATCACAAGGAAAAGGTAGTTTTTCTACGAATTTTCGCATTCAATAAATTAAAACTTTAACAGTTGCCCTGGTTATTTGCCTAAATATTGATATTGATCCTCCGGATGTACAGAAAATTCCACCTTTCTCAAGAGTGGAAGCATGGGTTGACCCAACCGATGCTAACAGTTTACACGCTTTAGGCAATATCGGAAAAAATCTTCAGGTAACTGTGTTTTCTCATTTTATCAATAAGTTGCGAATGTCCTGCTTTAATATTATTTATTGTGATTGATATTTTGTAGATTTTCTGACTCGTGGTGATACTTTCATTTTTTTGGTTGCTTTCGCATCGTAGAATGTTTTTATTTACAAGCGTTTGAGTTGACATGTTTTCTAAAAATTCATTGGATTTTTATTCGATCGATCGCTTAGAAAGCAGTAAATAATCCTTCACTAACGAGTCATTTGACTCAAAAAGTTTACGTGGATAATTCACAAGCAGAACACTTCGTTTGGTTCAGATTACCTGCTTCGGTTTGGGCACCCGGGCATTATCACAGCCCTCACACATTTCAAATGAGATATGTGTGGCGCATATGTATTTGGTGCCTCCTTATTTAGTCCAAATTATCATTAATCACTTTTTCTAGCTCACTAAAATGAGTTGTTGACTAGTAGCTTGTGTGTCTGATTTTCAGTTATTTGGTCATATGTTTTTATCTTAACTCATCTTTTGCCTGTGAGTATGGGACTGTATCTCCTGACGTTGCTTCATTGTCTTGTGGATCAAACATTTAGGTCAAAGACTCCGGGCATGGCCTCCTAAGAAACCACCTACTTTTGTCTGGGCATCCGGGCAATATCTCAGCCCACACACACAAATCAAGTGACTTGTTTGGCGCATATCTATTTGGTGCCACTTTGTACCAATATTTATGTTCAAACAATTAAGTACTATCATGTCTGCTTTTCGTTTTATCACTTTTTCACTTGGTCGCGATACATTTAATCATTATATCAGATTTTGATCTTTCCTAATAATCTAAACTTTTTAAAATACCATTAGATTTGATTGTTGTGATCTTTGGGATTTTACAGATTAATGACTATATTCCCTATATGTCAGTACATCAAACCCACCATGATAGTTTAATTGCATTCATTGTTTTAGTCTCGCCATCTCTTCTGCTATCAAAAATGTTGCACTTCAAAATGGAACACCATCCTACTGGCTTTTCTATTTTTGTTCATTTACTCTCCGTAATCTCGTATTCAGATATATTTCACACTAACAAAGAGGTTTTACCATCTAGGTCAAAGTTACCTGGATATCAAGCATATTTGTACTCCTTTGTCAAAGAACTCATTAGCAGCGTGCAGATATCTGGTTAGAATGATCGTAATCATGAAGGTACCCAACGGCCTTTTTCTAGTTATTATTACCGACGGTTTTGTTGTAGTCCTCATATTGCGCTCGTGTAATTTTTATCCACCTTAGTTGTGATGTCAATAGAATTAAAGAACGTCATTGTCCATGGGATAAAAATTCACGTAGAAACATTGCAGAAATCATTTTCTTTGATTAAGTATTATTTTTAATTTAGTTCAAGTCATTGTTAGCCTTCCTGTTTTATTAGTTTTAGTAGTGGTTCTTACCATCTCTCGAGTTGGTTCACTGTTCTCTACTTTAATTTCTCAGGCCCAATACGAACGATGGCAACCTCGTGCCAGATATAAACAGTGTCTTGATCCAACTTTAGATGATGTGAAAAAATTGTGTCTTAGTTTAAGACGTAACGCAAAAGATGATAGAATTCTATTTCATTATAATGGACATGGTGTCCCTAGACCCACTGAGAATGGAGAAATATGGGTTTTTAACACGGTAAGTATAAACTGATCTTTAAATTTAGTCCTTGGACATTTTTATATTTTGTGTCGTACTTTAGACTATTGTTATGGATCGCTTTGTAAGTTTAATCTTAAACTCTACTATCTTTATGTTAGTCGTCCAGGATTGGCATTTTTCAATATAATATAATAACTTATTACATGTTTATTTATTCAAACTTAAGCCATATGTCTGGTGGTCCTGGGCTACTAATATTTCTTGACTTTGTGAGTAGTTATAAGTGGAGGGAGAGAAGCGCATGCCAGAATGTTTGGGATGCACTTCTCTCCTTCCAAATGCAAGTTGTTGCTTCAGGACTGGTCTGCGTCAACACCTGAACTAAGGATAGGGGGTGAAGTAGTCGAACGCGTTGAAAACTTCACTTATCTTGGAAGTCTGATCAGCCCTAATGGGTTGGTGTCTGAGAAAATCTCAGCACGGATTCGAAAAGCTCGTTTGGCCTTTGCCAACGTACGTCATCTATGGCGAAGGCGAGATATCGGTCTATCAATTAAGGGACGAGTATACTGCGCGGCAGTTCGTTCCGTTCTACTATACGGCTGCGAAACATGGCCATTAAGAGTAGAAGATACTCGTAAGTTACTAGTATTTGACCACAGGTGCCTTAGAAATATTGCGGGTATCTGCTGGGATCACCGGGTAAGTAATAGTGAGGTTAGACGTAGGGTACTAGGGAATGATGGTAAATCAGTTGATGGGGTTATGAATCTTCATTGACTGAGATGGTTGGGCCACGTGTTGCGCATGCCTGAACACCGATTACCACGACGCGCAATGCTCACTGGTGTTAGGGATAATTGGAAGAAAGTTAGGGGCGGCCAAACCAAAACGTGGCATCAGTGCTTGAAGTCACTAACTTCTGGTCTGAGCCATGTTGGTAGATGCAGACTGCCTGGTTGGGGTCCGCGTGACTATCGTAACCAATGGTTAGGACTCTTGGTGACATGGCTCAGAATCGATCACAATGGCGTCGGTGTATACACTCTCTGTCTTCCTTTAAACCAAGAGATTAAAATCACTTCAAATCTTTCTTTCTAGAAACTAATTCTTTCTTTCTTGTTGTGCTGATGCGGTATGGCAATTTGGACCGATGCATATACGTGCCTGGTCCTACGTTGCAGCTGACTGACTGACTGACTTTAAGTGTGTACACTCCTTAATTTTAAGGCTTTGATACCTCGGTTAGTCAGGTGTTAGTTTTGTAGGTCTGACCTTTTCTAACCCATTGCTTTTATTGAGAGAAGGCAGTATCACTTCAGGTGCTGGTTGTCTGAAGGAAGCATTTTATTGGCGTCGCAATGCATATAGTCGAAAGTACTATCTCAACCTCAAAACTGGCTACTTAGCTTTGTCGACCACTACCTCGCAAATAGATTCACTCTCTGTGTTCTAGATCTTGAGTTCCAGTATTCCTTCATACAAACCTTTACATTCCATTATTTTGTCTTGCTTGTTATTGATCCTGTTAATTTCATCTCGTCGTGCTAATGTGCTTATAGGAACTTAGATTAATTCACACGTATACCAATCTCTACATTGGTTATGGCTGACTGATGCTCTTGTTCTTGTCTATCATCTTTTATCTACAAGTTAAATAATAATAATAATAAGCATCTAGTATTCACGTTTTTAGTAACAATTTAGATATATTTGTTTCCCATGGTTATAGGTTGTATTTTGTGTCCAAGATTATTTAATTGCATTTATTATTATTCTTATTCTTACCATTATTATACGGGGAATCATTTCACATAATTACAAAACAGTTTTTCATATAATCAACTTCATCTCAGGTATGTATATCCCATAACACAATCTCTTTTGATTCTTAAAAACTATTGAGTTAATAATGAAATTATTCAAATTCTAAACAAATAAGTTTTCAATTCGAATGTTGATTTCTTTCATTTTAGGTTAGTAAGTTGAATAAAGTATCATTTATCTATGAATAGCAAAATTTAGCTTTAAGCTGAATAAATTACAATGAGTAATGAATAAATAAATAATTTGCCTCAAATAATAGATTTAATCTTTCTGATAATATTCAGTAGTATTTATTTTGATATATGCTTATTATGAATTAAATTTGATTATCATTGTTCAACATTGTTTTTATTTTGTAGAAATTTACTAAATATATACCATTATCATTATATGATCTACAAAGATGGTTAGGTGCTCCAACTGTTTATGTATTAGATTGTCAAAATGCTGGAAGAATAATACATATGTATGAAGTTTTCTGTGAACGTCGAAAAGCTGAAGTGAGTAATTTATTGAGAAGAAAGACAAATAAACAAATGTTTTGTTATTGACTTGTTATAGCCTGTTTGCCCTGTTAATGTATAACGTAACGATACTGCCAACTAGAGAGCAGTGAATTATCGATCGTACCAATGACACGTAAACCCGTACGAGCAGTCAAGGGTCCTTATTTGTCCTGATTCCTGCCTAGCCCATCCAGTTAAGTCTAGAACATTAATCTCAACCTCTGCGATATGAATCATTTATTTCAAACACATGGGGTTTATATACCAATCAGACAGACCACATCGTACTATAAAATAGAAAATAACATTTGTATAATATTTGGCCAAATGTGGCTGTGAATATGGGAGGCAGTGACTAATAGACAGGGCATAATTCAAGAATGATAAATCGTATAGTAATAGTTTCTAGGTCAAAATAAAGCTCATATTAAGAGGGACATGAATATGAATAGTTTCGTTATTTAACTATATGCATAGTATTGTTCCGTAAATGGATCCCATAAGTTACCATTCATTATTCTTATCAGAACATAACATGTTTCTAGATAATTTCCTTATAATATAGGTCTATTCATATTCAGTTTTTTAGCTATGCATTTTTTAATTATCCGGCTCAGGGTGTACTATACCACGAAAACTAGCTTTCCATTTGACCTTACGTTCAGAGCTTGTGCTTATGAGGATCGTCTAAGAAAAACATCCGTTTGGTTTTCGGCTTTCGAGTTTTATGTTATCCCTCACATAAATTATAAAGCATAAATCTACACTTAGCTTCTGAATTACACTTAAATCTCACTTAGGTATGTTTCTTTAATTGCGGTAATACAAGGTCATGGAATTAAATATTATCTAATATGTTATGTTATAGTGCAAAACATCTATATCTATTACACTCTATTGCTCTGTGTACTGTAATTTTTATAGGATAGTTGTATTGATTTTCATTCATTTATGACTGACTACTGATTAGTTTTACAAAGTAACAATACTATGTAAATAACTACTGCTAAATTCACTCTTGAAGCGTAGTTCATAAAATTGACCTACATTAATGAGTTGTTTTATGATTATAAACCCATTAGCATATTTCATACTGGTGTAATGAAGTTATAATTTCAATGGATTTTTAAGGCGAAATTATACTACTGAAATTCATGCAGATGACGTTAAGGTTCAAATTTAAACGATGACAATTTCTTGGCTGTTGAAACATTTGAATCACTAGTCTCTGGTAAATTGAATCACTTTCTGTGCTGTCGACTATTGAAGCTACTATTTTATTGATCTCAATGTAGATTTTTAAAAAATTCGTCATTCTCGTAACTTCATTCGATGTTACATAATTTAGTCTAGAAGTAGTTGGGATATGCATTACTTATGCCCATTAACCGCCTATTTTGACATGCCCTGTTTGACGGTTTAGGTGTAGGTTGGGAGAAAGTTATGGGTTGACCAAATCAAAACTCGGCAACAATGTATGAGGGCATTAACTATTGAACTGGACTGTGCTGCTGGGGATAGACTGCCTTGTAAGAGTTCACGCGATAACCACGACCGGTGATTGTAGGAATTATTTTATATGCCTCAGAATCAATCACAGTAGCCCAGATGGGTTCAATCTTTGTCTTTCCTTGAATCTCAAGTTTGAAAATTTATTTTAAAATTAGACAGTTCCTTTTGTGGGTTCATTTTTTCTTAAATCATGCTATCAGTGCCTAATCACTTGCACACTTCATCACTTTCAATCATCTTGGTGCAGTTTTGTTCTTGGAACTGAATGGTTTGGTCGTGGAATTTCATCGTTCTTCTGAACAATATCATCATCAAAAACTTCAGGCAGAAATGAAGTGTTCGAATTTCTTCATGTATGACTCATAGCTTGTCCTGTAGACCTCGATCTTGACTGGCTATTATTTACTTTTTTTGACTATATCCCCCATTGATTTAATTCCTGGTCCTTTGTTTTTATCAGAATAGGGGTTTGTGGAGATTGTAGTAATTTTAGTAGTTAGATTCATGAGTCTGATTGGTTGGTAGATTGGATTTATTTCAATATGTTTATTGATTGCTGTTTGACCTGGGTGCCAAGCTTCTAAAAAATTCTTTAGTGTTTTTAGGATTCCCTTTATTCAAGATCTCAACATTTCTTCAGTCGAATATGTGTCCACAGTTGCTCAAATGCATTGATATAAGCGAGGTTACGTCATGGAGTTTGACTGCTAATTGATGTTCGTGCAGTTAAAGGTAAAGAGGGTGTCCACTTTCTCCGATGTATTGTTTTTCGCAGTTGGAACAATTTATTTTGTAGATGGTGTTCGGTTTTTCTTCTTTTATCATTTCGTTTTTTTTTTTTTTTTGATTTGCATAAGATTGATTGAAGTGATTTTGTTAGTTTATATGCTCCACCTTTTCCGCTTGACCTACAAATCTTCTTCAGCATTTCAATTCTCTCTTTGTTCTCCTTGCTCTTTTTTATTTCAATCTTCCACTTATAAACATTTTAGTTCTTACTACATATACTACTTATATCTGTCCACATAAGTAGTGCACACCATACTACCAATGATGCTGTTATTTCTTTCACTATTTTAGCTGTGCTGATGTGGTAATGTAGTGAACGTGAACACTCATGAGGGCAATCGAATGTATTTGAATACAAAATCTGAGAACTATACAATAATTAGTTGATTTCCAAAATGTCAATCAATTGTCTTAAACTTTGATTGTTCCTTCGTTCTCACACCAATCATTCTGTGTTGTCATTCTATTTTCTTTGATCTTCTTAACCTTCTGCCTTCAGACATTTCACTTCCGATTGATGATATATACTGCTTATATCTGTCGGCATCAGTAGCACACATCATAGTAGGACAACGTAAACTGATACATCTATGTATCAGATTCATATTATCTGTAACTGATTGACTATAATCCAAATAATTTATATTGAATCTTTCATTATCACTACTAAATAATAGTTTCATCAGATCGAAATGGTGTTTACAGAATTATTTCACTCATATCAAATCACATTATATTGGATTGATTGTTAATACTGTTGTTAGATTGACCTTTAATCATATGATTGATCATTTCACATTATTTAAGTTCATTGTTGTTGACTAATTCTTAATAGAAACAATTCATTAAACGTAATATATATATATATATATATATATATATATATATATATATTGTATACTGTGTTCTGATGATCTGATTGCGAATCAATTAGAATCATGCAATTTGTAAATGGTTAATTATGTAAAGTGAGAATATGTGCATGTCTTTATGCTAAAGGTTATATATAATAAAGGTATTTCAGTCAGTCAGTCAATCAGTACCAACGTATAACTCCGTACGTACGTACGTACATCAGTTTGAGTTGCCACATCACATTAGCACAGAGATGTAGTTGTCGATTCAAATCCCATAATGGTAGAGGTTATAAGAGTATAAGCAGTCATCAGAGAAATTAGGTCATGTTAAACTGATCCAGAAAAAAAGATTTGTTTGTGTTAATGATCTTGACTAAATGAATAATCTACTTGTTCATATTATTCCTCTCATACTTTTGTTTCATATCTACAATGTCATCTTGAGACAGTTTGTGATTTTTTTGGAATTATTTAGTTTATCACTAAACAGAAATTCCATCTGACGTTCCATGTATTAACAAATACTCTGAATTGTATGTGCTGTAGTCGGTTGACAAGTATATCTCGGGTTTTTCGGAAACCTATAATCAATCAAACTGAGTCTCTCATTTTTGCAATGTGTAGATAGGAGAACATTATGGAACCTTCTACAGGACTATGGTGTACCTGAGAAAATCGTCAACATCATACAACGGACTACAGTGCAGAATTGTTCATGGAGGACAGCTAACAGATGCCTTCGAAGTGAGGACCGGTGTCAGACAAGGCTGCTTACTCTCGCTCTTTCTATTTCTTCTGGTGGTTGACCGGATTATTTAAACCCTTACATCTGATGGGGGCCATGGAACGCAATAAACAGCGTGCATGCAACTAGATGATTTAGACTTTGTAGATGACTTAGCTCTTCCACCCCATACACACAAACAAGTGCAAGTGAAGACAGATAGTGTAGCAGCAGCTTCTGCATCAGTAGTCCTCAAGATACACAAGGGAAAAAGCAAGATCTTGAAATACGACATGAAGAACACCAACCCTGTCACAGGTGGGGGAGAAGCTCTGAAAGAGATGGCAACTTTCACGTACCTGGTCAGCATAATGGATAAGCAAGGAGGATCCAATATATATGTGAAGGCAAGGATTGTCGAAGCTAGCACATCATTCCTATAGTTGCGGAACATATGGAACTCAAAACAGCTCTATGCTAACATCAAAGTCATAATCTTCAATGCGAACGTGAATACTACTATGCGGAACTGAAACTTGAGAAGTGCTACAACCATCATCAAAAATGTACAAGTATTTATAAACAATTTTCTACACAAGATACTCAATGTCCGTTGATCGGAAACCATCAGCAACAGACTACTGTGAGAGAGAACAAACCAGCTTCCATCTGAAGAGGAAATTAAAAATCCCGAATGAAAACATAAATGGGAAAGATCAAAAAATATACTGCGCCGGGAATCAAAGGCATACATCAAAAGTATGTATACCAACTGAAAAGAATTGCCTAGGACAGGGGTGGATAGAGAACGCTGGTGGGCAGCTTATGCTCCCCCACCAGGGGTAGCAGCTGTCAGTAAGTAAGTAATTCCTCTATCGACTATATTTAGCATACATACAGTCTGTTTGCTTAACAACGTGCGAGTATATTAGCAAGCGTTTTTCACTGTTAGATATTACTATTGAAGGTAGAGAACTTATGCACAGTTTATTTCAAGTATATTATCACCGATAACGTAATTCGTGTGAGTAGTGCTGAGATTAAGTGTAGAGTTATCATTCTATATAGCAAATAGATTAGTAAGATTGTGTATTAGTTTACTATCTTTTCCAACTTGCAATAATGATTTGCATCTGATTGAATCAAATACAAATTTGATTTTAGGCGGCTGTAGTTGAACAAAGACAAATGGAATGTGATGGTAAAACTGATCAATCAGAAACATTACAATGCAATCATCAAACATATTCTGGATCAAATTTTCCAAATATTCTTAATCAAGTAATATTTATTAACTATTATTATTTATTAACTAGTAAATTTTGTAAACTGTCAGTCAATCAATCAGCTACGCTACCATGGGACTGCATCTCCTTACGATGCTCCACTGCCTTGTGGATCAGACCTTTAGGTCAAAGGCTCCGGGTGTGACCCCCTAAGAAAACCACCTGCTTCGGTTCGGGCACCCGGGCAGTATCACACCCCTCGCACAAACCAAATGAGATTTGTGTGGCGCAAATGTATTTGGTGCCTCCTTGTACCAATATCTATGTGTTTAAATAATAATAATAAAAAATAATAATCAATCAGCTACAACATAGAACCAGGCACAAACATATACATTGTAAACTGTACATTGTATATTTTGAAATTGTTAGACGAAAGTCATGCTGTTAATGTATAGTCATAACAGCTTATTCTTAGACAAGATAGATGGCTTATTTTTGGCCTCTTCTAATATATTAAATGCTTCATCAGTGATATAAATTCACTCTATTATTCAGTGCCGTAGCCAAAGATGTTTATCTAGTTATGAATCAAAATTTTTACGTGAATGTCGATTACAGTATTCAATATCTCCAATATAGCAGATGGTTATCAAGCATGTACCACATTATTTTGTTTATCTAAACATATAAACATTGATACCAAGAGCCACTAAAATACGTATACACTACACAATCATTATTTTTGTATACAGGTTTAGATGCTGGCTAGGTGCTCAAACTGAAGCAGCTGGTTTTCTTACAGGGCTATTCCTTGAGTCTTTGACCTAGAGGTCTAATCCATAAGTTAGTGGAGCAACGTTAGGAGAAATGTTCTCATAGTAGCAAGTGACCAACAATATATCCATACTGAATTTGTTCCATGTAACTCATATGGACCACTGATATGAAATGAATGTTTTCGGATTCCCCTTAATGGATCGTCTGTATCCATGAATATGGTTTAAGTCCACAACGGATATTCGGTTTTCGTCCTGACAGTTTCACAAAGAACAACCCTGTCGCTAAAAGATAAACAATTACTAAGAGTTTGTTGGTAGTATTTAGGTGTGGCCATATGAGAGAATTTGTAGAGAAGAGGGAGAACGTACTCTTCCCTCTTTTTGCCGTACCAGGTTATTTGGGGGCCTACTACATAAATATTTTTAGATAATTGAAATATTATTGTAATTCTATTATCAACTATAGATGCTTGTACGTTTGCTAACTACTCAGTTAATCATGATTATGAGTAAAAGTTAGTGTAATAATACACAGAATCAGCCATTTTGTGTTAAGCATGGACGAGATAAACTGGATTACAGTTAAACGTATATGTGTGGTTGTGCCCACACTGTGAAAGCGAAATTCATTTTGATTTCCCGTCTAGATGCACTAAATCAATAGATAACACATTTCATTCTTTAACGAACGGTTCTGAATTCACGTTCCAACGTGAACATCAAGACTGAAATTCAGGTACATTTAAAAATAATGAACCGAAAATAAAATGAAACATGCTTACTGATCTACAATACTAGCCACTATTCCTTTATTTTATAAAATAGTTTTCCATGTTTTATTATTTCCCTTATTATCTTACCCAGTCTTAATAATAAGGTAATGCTGTGTATACCCTGTAAGCTTAGTTAATTTTTTCTTTTTTCTAATCTTTTCATTAATTTATATTTATATTGAATTCATGAGTCGATTTAAGCTAGATCACCACCTTCTAAAATCTGGAATCACTGGACGGCCGTTTCGTCCTAGTATGAGACTTCTCAGCAGTGCGCATCCAAGATCCCGAATATAGGAATCCAACCCAGGAACTTCGAGTCCCGCACATGGGATCTTTGATGCGCACTGCTGAGAAGTTCCATACTAGGACGAAACGGCCGTCCAGTGCTTCCAGGTTTTAGAAGGTGGTGTTCTAGCTTAAAGTGACTCATGAATTCAACTATTAAAATATTAAAAATTACTACAATCTCCACAAACCCCCATTCTAATATATTTATATCTTTAGGCTACATTACCATCGTCCTCCACTGTTCATGTTGTCAGTATGGAAAATACATTTATGTTGGCTGCATGTAGTAAAGATGAAGATTTACCACAGAATCCAAATCTTCCAGCAGATTTATTTACTGCTTGTTTAACTACACCAATTCGTATGGCACTTCGTTGGCACTGGTTACGTCATCAAGAATATTTTCCCGGTAAATCTTATTCTCTTTTAATTTCTCTTAAGAAGTAGATATTAATGTTAGACAAATTGAATTAACGTGAACACGTTATTTCATATGGGTTTTCTGTTAGTGTAAAATTCGGTTAAGAAAAAGGTACTGTGCGTTCTAGATCAAGAGGTGAAGTTGTTGTGATTTTTGATCTGAGCCACATTGAGGTATATGAACCAACCTGGTTAGAAGTACATGCATTCATCCTCAGTCAGTCATGATCAAACTAGAGAGTGGTAGATATATGCATCAAACTAAGTTGCCATAGTACATTATCATGAGATAAATTTCGGTAGATGTATAGCAAAAAAATCGAAATGATATAGCCGCCATAGTAGTGAGGAAGACTGAAATTTTATATTGTAGGTCGAAAAAAATGATGAAAAGAATAAACGAAAGAATATTGGAACTCATGACCTAGAGTAATATAATGATTAAATGCATCTGTTCTATTGTGATCCATTATGAACCATCTAACTTAACATCTCGAACTACTAATATGATATTTATATCGCTGATATCAACCAATTGTTCTGCATCTTCCAACATAACTCAAACCAATAGTCAGTGGTTTCATGAACTTATGTCATGTGTCGGTTTAATTGCTTTAACCTTTTTTCAACCAACATTACCGTATCGGAGTAGACGATGATTAAGAATATGTAACGATTGTCCTGTTAGTTATGGAGTTAACAAATGGCATAGATTTTTTACCAAATTCTACATCAGTCAATGATAGTGAAGATGAAGCTTCAATTATAAACGAGATGATCTTGGTTGCTGTTAGCGGTATGAGGGACGTTGTCACTTTCCAATAGTCTATACTGTGATCGAATGCTTCTTCAGATGCTTGAAAAGAATACTAGTTTAAGGGTGGTCATTTCAAATTAGGAACATGACAACGGTTCCTAGAGGACAACTATACATAGAATAGGTTGTAAATGTAATAACTCCGGTACCTTTTTAAAGGTCTTACCTATTTATTTATTTGAACACATAAACATTGGTACAAGGGGGCCACAAAATATATGTGCGCCATACAACAACAATCTGTTCAGTAGTAGTTATTACTGATTTGTGTGAGGCCTGTGGTACTGCCCGGGTGCTCAGACTGAAGCAGGTGGTTTTCTTAGGGAGTCACGCTCGGAACCTTTGACCTAATAGTGTGATCCATAAGGTAATGGAGAAACGTTAAGAGATGTGGTCCCATGGTAGCTGGACACCAACAAGAGGTTCATACGCCATTTATCTCCTCAGGATCCTGGAGCCTATGTGTACCATTGGTTTGGAAACATTACTTTCCTACTCCTTTGGGTGTCCACCAACCCTATCAAAACATGGGATATTTGCTTTTCGTCCTATCAATTTCGTAAACAACAATTCTGCCTCGAGAAGGCAGTAAGTAGGGGTTTCCTGACAGTGGTCGTATACGCGAGGTTATGTAAAAGTATTTCGAGAGGGAGACCGGAATCTCCTCACCCTCGACGGTACCAGGGTGTTTGGGGGAGACTGTAATCCGTAAAAAATCTAAGGTCTACTATATCTCCGGTCAACTAACTTAATGACTATGATTAGTCAAATTATTTTATTATTTTAAATCAGAGATTTGTTTTAGCCTTAATGTTTTTTTCTCTCGTAACTTTTCGATCACATTATCACCAATAACTGTATACAGGTTATTTAGACGAAGCCTTATTAGATCGTATACCTGGTTCTCATTCAAATCGTATGTCATTACTTGGTGAAATTAATTGGATATTCACTGCAGTAACTGATACAATAGCATGGTGTAGTTTTCCATTGGATATATTTCAAAAATTATTTCGTCAAGATTTATTAATTGCTAGTTTATTTAGAAATTTTTTATTGGCTGAACGTATTATGAACTATTATGGATGTCATCCAGTATCAGCTCCTTTGTTATTACCAACTTATCAGCATAGTATGTGGTAAGTATTGATAATAGTGTTAGTATTAATTGTTGTTATCTTCTATTCTTTCATTATATTTTACACTATGAATTGAAATGTGTTGTTAGTTGAATAAATATGGATCCATTTGTCTTGAATAAGATCTAAATACTGATGGTTGTTGGGTGTTTGATTAACCAGTTATCACCTAATGGTGATTGAATGGTATAAATTTTCCGCTTCCAGTGAATTAATAATGAGCAACTAAACCTTCATTCACTCCCCTATTAAAACTTTAAAAATATACTACTAGTCAGTGGCATAGGTAGATTTATTTCTCGTTACGTGTTTAGCCATTTAAAATCGTTTTTTATTTGCAGGTCTTTTGGTGAAAATCAAACTAGTCTTTGAAAATTCGAAAATGTTGTAGTAAAACATCGTGATTACTGAAGTTCAGCCGTATTCAGTGTGTTAAATTAAGCAGTTTCCACAATACTGGTAAATGATCGTTGTGAAATAATCTTGAATTGATTGAGGCTTAAAACAAGATGGATCGTTCAAATCCAATTAAATGAAGAAAATATTCTCATCACTGAACATTATGATCGTGTCTTCGATCTCTTGCGAAAAGATTCCTGACATCTCAATTCACGATCTCTTCCTAGGGATTGGAACCTAGATCTTCTAGCGGAACAGCAAGTATAATACTGTAGTATCTGCGAGTTGGCATTCAACGCAGCTAAAATTATATTTATGAAGTTGAGATGCGGTCGTCAGCCTAAGTGATTCTATAATCTGATGCTTTATATGTGGATGGTTAAGGGACTAAAAGCGGATGCTGTTAGTAGTCCATAGATTCGTGCTAGTGTTTTTTGCTCTCACCAGCGACTCACATCTTGATTCTTAGGGGATAATGATCCTGTCTTCATGACATAGTCATAATTTAAGTATTTCGAATTAGTACATACTTGTTAATGCAAAGTTTGAATATTGTTCTGAGAATGACATGTATTACTAACGAGTAGTACTAATTGTGACGAGATTTGTGTCAAAGAAAGCCTCTTATCGATTGGCTTTATTTTATTTATTTCCTGTTTTGATCTTAACTACTTCTATGATGAGAAAACTATACTGAATAAGAAGTACTAGTCAGTGATGACTAAACTACAGTATTTTTCCTTATTCATTAGTTTAAATCTGAGAGGTACAATTTTTCGTTTTTACTCTATTTAATCTTCTATTTTCTTCGTGTATCCATATGTTGTTAACTCGATGTTTGATTTGTACTGTATTTATTCCCCCCTTTCTTTCTGTACATGTATCTGTGTGTTATTCTACTTGTATCCAAAATAAAAAAGGGATGCATGGGATCATACTGTAGATCGTGTGATACATTATCTACCAAAAATGTTAAAAATCATTGAAGGTGGTAGCCTATACACCGAGAAATTGTTGCCAATAATAATTCCCAACTCAAATACGATTGTCAGTAATAATAATAGTGGACTATTAATGAAAACAGTCAACAATAATTATCCAAATTCAAACAAGATTACTACCACTGCTACTAATAATAACAATGGTTATAATAATAATAATAATAACAATAATAATAATAATAATAATGGTAATAATAATCGTATACCAGGACCACCTTGTCCAACTGGTAATATTCCATTGGATATGTGCACAAATCGTGCTCGTCATTTTTCTACACAACAACAAACTCACCCATTACAACAACAGTATCAACGACAGGAAATTCCTCAAGGAATCCACTCAGGGTTATTACCATTGAAACCAGTCAAATCAACTGTTCCTTCAGTTTGCGTATATCCACCAAATAAGTTACATAGTGATAATAATAACGATGGCAATAATATCGCTATTTCACAGCAACCATTGACGAATCCAACTAAATCTGACTTGATTACGAGTTGTAATTTTGCGTTAACCATGACATCAAGTACGGTGTCTAATGTGGCTGTGTCGTCGACTTTCGTGTCTACAACAACAACAACGACGGTTGTTGCAAAATCAAGAGCAGTTGATAAAGCTGATCCCCTGAGAAATCCTTCAACCAACCAATTGATTGATACTCATGATAAGAAATCTCAACTGGATCATGATTGTCTTCAGTGTGACAATAATAATCATTCTACAGCCAATGTACTACAGTATGGATTGCCTCCTGTAAGTAATTATTTTTATAAAGTGCTAATTTCAATTTGAACTGGTAATTTGTCTAATAAATATATAATTTAGGCTAACAGTAGTTTGTTTTATCATTTTAAGTATACTACCACCTCTGTTGTCCTATCTCCGTTTTCATTGTTCATTGTTCAAAATATCTCTGAAAGTCTGCAAAAATCAGACTCCTTGTTGTCTCGTAGTTGGTTTTCTCTGCATTATGCTATTTCTGCCCTCGTATTAAGGATGTTTTACATTTTGAGAACAAAACGGAATCTATAGTGGGTTACATTTGTTGATGAGTAGTGATAAGTCTCGCTACTGACACGCGTAGAATGTTGGTTCCTATAATCCCAACTACATCTACTTATTAACTGGAACAATGGAGAAAAATACGAATTGTGAGTAAAAGCTTTATTCCAAGGTTTGTTTATGTTCAGAACAAAAGAAACGAGAACATTCCTAGAGTTATGCATTATCCTGGGCTTGTGGAATTTTCTGGAACTGTACCAAATATAGTAGCAGTATAAGTAAGTATCTAATCAAGGCTGTAGCACGTGATTCTGAATTTTCTAAATGTTTCTCTGAAGATTCTATTCAACTCTGATTGTATAAAACATTTCCCGACGTTTCTGGGCCTCTAGAGACTTTGACGAGGGATATTTTGAGATTCTAGCGACAAGTAAAATAAAGTTACAGCAGGATCGCCATTGGCTTCTATTCTGAGCCATATCTGATAACGTCTCTAGCCACTGTGCTGCACCATCTCTCGGACCGCAGCCAGGGAGTCGTAAAGGACCAACACAAGCCAGCCCTTTGCAGCTTTCTCTGAGATGACATTCGTAAAACATGTCCAAGCCACCGAAGTCGGTGTTTCAAGATGGTGACACCAATTGGATTGTCGTCTCTGTGCCCGAACACACGATGCCGAACCTCTGCATTATTAACATGGTTTTGCCACTGGATGTCTGCAATCCTTCGGAGACAACGATGATGAAACACAGAGAGTCGTCTAACATCCTCAAGTCGGAGAGGCTAGGTTTCACAATCATAGAGCAAAAGTGCTGTCATCGACGCGTTGTAGATCTGACCTTTTACAGCCAGGCTGACAAGATTGGCATAAGCCTCTTCGGTTTTTATTATACGTGAATTGATCTCATCACTCACGCCACCACCAGCACTTATGCAGCTACCCAGATATACGAACTTCTCGACTACTTCGTTCTGCTCACTGCCCAGGGTGACTGAATGTACAATGCGGTTATTTATTTACTTATTTATATCCACAACCAAAAACCTTAGTATATCAGTTCGCGTATTTATTGGAGAAAACAGTGAGTACTCATGGACTTATTGGAATTTTTCACCTTACAGCTTGTTGTGAGGTCGAATTCTTCGATAGTGTTCTCTTAACTTTCAGGCTACTTAATCTGTAGAATGCTAGGAGATAGTATTCTAGTGTGTGCTACCTATAAACAAGGGTTATGTTCCATTTTACTGTCCTTTGCCCCTCCCCCCTTTGTTATTGTTCCTATTATTAAGTATATGCAATATTAATAAGGTATAATATAGAAAGGAAATATTTCATATTTGTTTTTTTGTTTTGATCCCATCGATTGAATACATCTTCTTTGATAAATATATGCATGATATTTTATTTGTAGGACTGTCTTCAAACTCAGCATTATCCAGTTACTGTTACTACTATTACTACGAATACTGTGACTACTGCTACTCTTAATACATCTAGTCGAACTTCTGAGTTAGTATCAAAATCGAAGGTATTCAATCTATTGAGCTCGGATTTAGTTGCCCCACCTCCAGGATTTAATAATAATAATACTGATAAGCTTCAATCGCAACCGGTAACAACCATGTTGATTGATTCAGAACAAAATAATCATCATCCTAATACTACTGTTGAATTTATCAGTAATGATACTAATGATAGTAATAAGGATTTAATTGATATAAAATCAACTCTTCATAGAGTGAAACAGATGGATCACTTAGAAATTGTTGAGTTTACTAATCAAAATACTAATGACGAATCCCAGTTTACCAATGATGATAATAATAAATATAATAAATCGAAATTTCTCACTACTACTACTTCTATGAACAATAACGATTCTGTATCAATTGTTCACCATACCATAACAAATGAAATAGAAAAGTCAGTTGAACAAGCAGATAACCAAATCTCAAAGACAACAGTACCGAGCGGTTTTCATCCGTCTTCTCAACAACAACACTAGAATACATTAAATACTCATCATGATCATCATCAAAAAGATTCATCTAGCTGGAACAATAAGGTTAAATATTTTGAACATGAAGATAACCAGGTATTTTTTGTGCATTTGTACGTGTGTGTGTGTGAATGCATGAGTCCATCTTTAAAAATGGTTTTGTTAGTCTTTTTTATCAGGTATAAATTTCTGTGCTCAACTTCGAGCCATACTCTGTGCTTGTATAAGTTAATGATATTATTCGCCTGTTCAAACGAAATTATATCGAGTGAGACTCTTACTTATGACTTAGTGGTTTAGGGTTGAACTATTTAACCACTAAGCCACGTTTCACAGTTGTTCATATAGATAGTCTTTCGTGTTAATTGCATTCTTTCTAATCATCAACACTGATTTCGTATAAGTGACTCGGCAGTATATGTATATTTTCTATGTTAGTTGATTGAATGAGAATCCACAATTACACTGTCTCTGAAATTAATACTGCGTGGTGGAGGATCGATTTCTTGAAGAAATTACTGTGATATTACGAAACTGAAGTCATTTAGAGCTTCTTATCTGATTGGATCTAATCGTTTTACATATATAATTTATAGGATGTATTTGTCACAGATTAATCTTTTTTGCGATTCCATTAAAGACAATAGAGTAGTAGATAATTGTTTAGTACCAGTATGGAACTACTCAGCAGTGCACACTCGCAATTACAGCTCAGATCAGACTCAGAATCTTCAGATTTCATGGTAAACGCTTCTCCATTAGGATTACTGAATCTTTGTCTGATTGTACAGTGTCAACTTCGATAAATTTGCGATATAACGCAAAGATTATCTATTGTGTATTTCTTTCTAACTTCTTTCTTGTCTTATCCATCCAGAGTATCACTGATAATCCTTATTTTAAGGATCTTAGCACTCATATTCAGACATTAGATTTTTAAATCCAAGTGATTTTCGCTTGAATTCTTCATTTAATCATTTAATTCTTTCTATAAACTAGAATAATGAAATTATGTCAACCGCTTCTCATATGAAACAATCGAATCAAATAAAACTAGAGAGTAAAATGAACATTAATTTGAATAATGTCAGTCAAGAAAAAATCTGTCATGAGAACAGTGATGATAACGATGATGATGATGTTGGTGATGACGATGATTCGACAGGCAATTCTGAAACAGACGACGACGACGACGATGATGATGATATTGATGTTGACGAAGATGATGATGATGAGGAGGAGGAGGAGGAGGACGGTGATGGTGGTGATGACGAAGAGGAAGAAGACAATAGGGCGGAACAATACAAGTGTAATAAAACTACTTTAAATGTTCCTAATACCATCGGTTCAACAACAAAAGTTATGAATACAACAATAAGTCCCACGATTACTACTACTACTACTACTATTGATAATTGTTCTGCTCAATTATCTTTGCATTCAACGGAAAATTGTCATGAATCTAAAAAAGTTGAAAATAAACCATCCATAGGAATTGTTGACAATAGAACTAACCCTTGTACTGGTATTAGTAATAGTAAATTGATGAATAAAAAGCATGATAAACAACTTTCTCATAGTATGTCCTGTTCAGAATTATATACACATACAAATTGTAATGATCAACATGATTCACAACCACCAATTACACGTCAACAACAACAAAAACATCAACAACCCCACTCGAAATTAACACATGAACAAATAAACATGAACACATATGATGAGAATAATACGACTAATCAATGTCAACACTTACCACTGGGAGTAGTAGTAGAACATCAACAAACACTATTAAACTTGAAAAATAATAATCATGACATTACCGTAACTACTGAAAAGGAATCATTAATCAAAATAACAGAATCTTCTAAATTATTGAATATGACATGTAAAGGTATAGTACTAAGTGAAACTAATGATCAAACACGGAAACAATCACATGTTCATGTACAAAATAATGAATTAAAACAACATGATATAGAGAATAGTGTAGTAGTTTCTGCAATAAATTGTAAATTAAACAATGACCTACCATCAGTGAAACAAGTAAGTTCAATTTGTTTTGATTTGTATTTATTTAAACACATGAAAATTGATTCAAAGAGACACTAAAATATGTATACGCCACACAATAAATCATTAAATGTGTTTATAGGTTAGGATACTGCCTAGGTACCGAAATCGGAGTAGCTGGTTTTCCTTGGGGGGCAACTCCTCGAACCTTTACCTAGAGGTATGATCCACAAGGCAGTGGAGCAAAGTTATTAGATGTATTTCCATGGTAGCAAGTGATAAACATTAGGTCCATACCCTATTTAATCCCTCAGGATCCTGTAACTCATGTAAACTACTGGTTTGAAATCAATGTTTCTGAACTCCCCTAGATGTACCGTCCATATCCACCAACGGACGCTTCCCACTCTCAGCTGTACCGGTGCCATCGTTTTATTGGTATTCTTTATTCTTCGTCAAGTACAATGAAGACATTACTACTGTTAAATTTAATAGTTCATTTTACGAATTGTTTTTAGCTATTGAGGACTAAGAAGTAATGGACAGATATTTCATCCCATTATAGGACTGTTCAACAGTAAGCGTCCGTTAACCTACTCGGAATTAGACTCCGGACATTTCAGGTCTTGCGTTAATCATTCAACTTTCTGACCATTTATCCAGCATCACATAGTTTAAGTATGTAACTGCAGTTGTTTCGCAATATTGTGGTTATCTCTTCATGTTATTTGTTATGTAATTGCCTCAGATCCACGTGGTTGAACTGCGCTGAATGTCTTATCATTACAGCTTTGTGAAATACATGTCGAAGTTAGTTGCTGATCAGCTTATGTTTTATTAATTATTACTGAAAAGAAAAGCGGGAAATAGATCTATTAATCAAACCCACTTTCTGAGCTGGATAGTTTAGAATTCTAAACCTTTTATTGTCTCCACCGTCATAAAGCCACTGTCTGTCCAACTCTATCTCTCTCTAACTTGTTGCAATGTCTCGATTAGTGTTTTCTGACGAAAACTGTCAATCCTTTCGCTTTCCTATGCCTTTCTTTTTAAATTTCAGACTGAAGTTTCTAAAAATCCTGGAAATTCACGTATTTCCACTCCAATGAAACCTCGTCAACCAACGATGCATACACAGTATCCACATGGTTATGAAAAGTTGTACCTGTTACCGAATAGTGGTGATATTCAGAAAGTGACTGGAGCTTGTCGGCATCGAGTTACTAACAACCACTACAGCAATAAATCAGCAACAGTAATCCAACAACTAGGGGGGCCGATAACAACTGCAGTTCCATCCGCACAGACCAAACCTATCAAACAGTATTTTGACTCTAAAACTTGTACAAAATTACCAAATGCGAATGATCATTATAACAATAGAGTTATTCTACCAAATAATGTTAATTATCAAAATGAACATTACCCGGATCCAAATAAATCTCAGTTGAATTATTATTCCGATACGTTATTATTACCACCACCATCATCTAACCAACGAATCAATACATCGTCATCTACGCTACCAGCATTGTCTCATTGTCAACAGTCAATAACTAATCAATTCGTCAGTTCCACGGTGTCGACGGCTTCTACTACGGCTGCCACTACTACTACCACAACGACTGCTACAGTTTTTTCTGGATCAGTGATAGGTGGAAGTGGTCCATCGTCATTTTTCACTAGTCAAATGACTGCATTCAAAATCTGGTTACAAACGGCTGATGAACGACGTCCTGTAGCTACGCAATTACCAATTTTATTACAGGTTAGTGAGAGATGAAAAAAATTATATTGTATCTTTTCAGTCAGTTCTTCTGTCTATTCTGCTACGATTGTTCTGGCTTTATTGACCCTTACTACTGTGTACATTTGTAAACGGAGGATCAAGAGTTTATATCTGACTTGATTCATATTTTAGAGGTTTTTTTACGTGATTCTTTGTTGTTAACGTAAATTTGGCTTCCAACCATCAATTTTGAGAACTGTATAACTATGAGCACCAACTTAACGCCATAGGGTGATGTTGTACTACTGACTGTACTGAGGTGTGACTGTAGTTAGGTCTTTCATTCAAACAACCATCATAATATTTACATAGTTTGAATTACTAAGTTTTGTTGCTGTTTAAATTCTATCGTCCAAGTCTCAATGTGTTGTTCTTAGATTATGTTTTTCTCTCCTTCATCAAATATGTTTTTATTTTTGTTACTTTTGTTTTTAGATTTTACTAAGTCAAAGTCATCGAATACGTGCAATGCAATTACTCAGTGAATTTCTTGACTTAGGACCATGGGCAGTAGCTCATTGTTTAACAGTTGGAATATTTCCTTATATTGTTCGTTTATTTCATTCACCAGTTTCAGAAGTGAAACCATATTTGGTATTTATTTGGGGTAAAATTATTGCCAGTGCACAAGTAAGTAAAGCGTTGTTTTTTTCTGTTTAGTTAATCAAGGCAGTTTTAAAATGATGTAAAAGATTTTGTGTAGTCCTGATGAATGTTTTTAAGAAATTGTTACATTCAATTAGAGAGGTTCGCTGTTTTCAAAAATATCTTCGTTTTCAAGCCACGCGTATACAACCACTGTAAGGGATGTCCTACTCTGTCTGTCTTCTCGCGACGGACGTGTATTACGAAATTGAGAGAACGATAAAACGAATGTTCGGTATCTAACAGGGTTGGTTGGTAGTAAGGATCCACCTAGGGGAGTTTGAAAACCCTGATACCAAACCGATGGTACACATGTACTCCAGGATCCTGAGAGAACAAATAAAGTATGAACCTTTTGTTGGTCACCGGCTATTATGGGAATGCATCTCCTAACGTTGTTTCACTGCCTTATAGATTAGACCTCTAGGTCAGAGTCTCGAGCAGTGGTCATCTGAGAAAATCATCTGCTTCCTTTTGGACGTCCGGGCAGTACTCCAGCCCTTACACAAATCGAATGATTTATGTGGCGCATTTATGTCTCTTCGTACTAATGTTTCTGTGTTTCTGTGTACACTAATCGTGTTGCCATTTCACATTATGTCGGTATTAATGCGTTTTATCTTGTTTCCATGGATGCATGGTAAATGAAACAAAACATCGCATTTTTAGCTTCATGTATACATTCTGATTTTTTTTCAAAATACAATGGATCACCTGACTAGTTCATGATTCAATGAGATTTATATAACAAAAATGGTACTGTTGAATACTGTCAGTAATTAATGAATTTTATTTCTCCCTGAATAAAAAATCGATCCAAAAAATTGAATAGTAGTCGTCTCTTGTTCAATGGATAATTAATCGTTTAGGTAAACATAATCAGTAAAAAGTATACTCAAGACACACTAGCCAATCAGCATCGAAAACTTGACTATAGCGTTTTTGCTTTAAATTCAAATGCCATGCATAATGAACAGTACTTTTCTATACTTCTGAAAATGTAAAAAATGATAGTACCCGTAGGGTTATAAATAACAGTGTTAAACGTATCAAATGCTTAACTCTCTCTCTGTAGGTTGTTTGTATGAGGTAAACATAAACATGGTTGCAGTATATTGTATGACTGAACTAATCAAATATAGTCCCTTGTATTTTCAAGCTAATTTCATTCATCATTACTCGTTGTTGTGCAGTCCTAAATATTGCGATGATTCAAACAACCGATACACATGAATCTAAATGATTATTTAAATGATCGTTTCTTACTTATTTACCCGTGGTTCCCCCTTTGGAGGAGCATAGAACATCCTTCACTTTTACATGGCCTTAGGACCGGAAATAACAGTAGAAGAGTTGCAGAGGGAGTTATTATCATTTCTACTGTTCATTATTTCGATTTCTGTATTTAATTATTCATTTATCTTGTTGTGCTAACGTTATACTGTAACTTGGACCAGCATACATTTGTGTCACGTTGTACTTCACTTATGACTGAATTCATTATTGTTTTATCTAGTGGGTTGACTAATTCTAAAATTTAATGCAGATTTAATAATCAGTGTAATATATTAAGGGCATCAAGAAATTTTTCCCCACGTAATATTGGGAAGAGTTATAATCTATCTAAAGTTAGTAATTATTCATGAATATGATTAGTATTTCAGAAGGGAAGGCAGTCTGTGCAAAATGAAGTATGGTATATTCATTCTAGTTGGTCAATTTAATAAAAAAAGCTATATTAGCATTATCATTGATCCCTATACCTGGTTATGCATCTGAACATCTCAGGATGATGAATGATCTATGTGACAATAACTGAGAAGCCTCCTTTTATCTGTCTAGTCAGTCAGTTAGTTATCATCAACATAGAGCCTGGTATGATTGTGCATAGATCACATTACATTAGCACATGACGAGATTAAATCAACAAAATGACAAGCAAAATAATCGAAATAATTGTAGTAGGAATGATAATGAGAGACATTGGACATGGAGAATATGGTTTGAAAACACCGAATAGAAAGATAAATACGAAGTAACACTGGAACTCAAGAGCGAGAGGAAGATAAAGGACAAATGCACACATACCATCGTGAACGATTTCAAACTATGCTACTTAAAGTTTCCAAGCAGTGATTACTGTTATCGCGTAGGCCTCAAGCTATGGTTACCAGAAGGACTCGAACCGAGAAACACTGATTTCATCGATTAATGTGAGATTCACGAATTGATCCATATCCTTCCTCTAACCATTTCCAACACTAGATGGTGTTTCATATCGAGTTATGTGGTGGTTGGTTATATGTAGTACTTGCCAATCATTTCAGTCAGTGAACATTCTCAAGCTTATCATCAATCGACTCGGTACGTTAAGTCGGTAAATGCGACGACTGGCAAAGCAAGGACGGTATTCCTACATTTGAATAACATGGTACTCAAAACTGTCAGCTAACATCAAAGTGAGAATCTTCAATACCAACGTCATGACGGTTCTACTGTACAGAGCTGAAACTTGAGAACTACTTCAACCCTCAGCAAAAAGGCACATGTATTTATAAACAGTTATCTACACAAGATACTGAATGTCAGTCGAACGTAAAGCATCAGCAACTGACTACTATGAGCGAGAACAAACCAGCTTCCGTCTGAAGTAGGAATTAGGAAAAGACTCTGGAAGTGGATAGAATTTACATTGCGGAAATTACCAAACTGCATCACGAGCAAGGGCTAACTTGGAATCCTGAATGGGAACATAAAAGAGAAAGATCATGGGACACACTACACCGGGAATTAAAGACAGACATCAAAAGTATGAATAGCAACTGGAAATAATCGCCTCCGACAGAGTTGGATGGAGAATGGTTGTGGGCGCCCTGTGCCCCTCGATAAGGGGTAACAGGCGTAACTAAGTAAGTACTTTACATTTGTAGTCACGAGTTCTCTCCATGTTTGTGTAATGTATTTCTCTTTTAAAAATTTTTCGTTTTCCTAGACTGAATTCGGTCGAAATGATTCAGTTCGTGATTTCGGTTATAAATATTTCATTGCTTGTTTAAGTGATACTGAAAATCTTTCTGTAAGTCATTTTCGTCTGTTCATATTTGTTTTACATTGATCAAATAACGTTGAATTCCATTATGATTGAGTTGAATTTGTCATTCCACTCTTTCCCTTAAATCTATTAGCTGTAGAATCTGTGGTGCCAATCAATCCCCGCTTTCCACAGTTAAGCTTTTATGATACACCTTGTCATACATTGTGTTGAATAAAGCAGATGTATTAATCTATGTATTGTTGTGTGTGTAACACTTAAAGCTGTTTTCCCGTTCGTTTAGTAAATGAGTGTTGTATATTCACCTAAGATTTCATTTCAAGCATCTGGAGTTGTACTAAACTGTTTACTATAAAAACACTGGATGGAAAACACAAATCTTGTGAAAGAATAGGGTTCCAGAAGGAGTTTTGTGGAGATTGTAGTAATTTCAATAGTTAAGATGATGAGTCAATTGAAGTTAGACCACCATGAAAAACCTGGAAGCGCTGGACGGCCGTTTTGTCTTATTGTGGGACTCGTCAACAGTGGGCATCCACTACCTCGCCACGTAGGATTCAAACCCAGAACCTATCAGTCTTGCTCGCGAGCGCTTAACCACTAGACCACTGAGCCTTCAAGATGTATATCCTGGAATTCTAGTGAGAAGCAGTGACCAGTGGAGTTCAGCCGGGTCAGTTGTGAGATAGTAACTCACTGATGACAATCGTGGATGTGTCGCTGAATTTCATGGATTAGCTGAAGTTGGACCTTAACACCGTTGGGTGCCGGCTCAATGGTATAGTGGTTAAGTGCCCGCTCGCTCCCCGACCGTAGCTGCTACCTTGACGTGGTGGTCGGGCTTGCCTATCGTGATGACCCAACCGAGCTATATTGGCTGGAACATATGTTCCTGCAGGTTCTACCATGCCAGGCAGGTCGATTAGAGAACGGTAAGACTGAAAGCAGCAACTCAAGGTCTGGGGGCGAAGTCGTACTGCTGACTGTACAGAGGTGTGACAGCAGTAAGGTGTTTCCCTCGGACAACCAGCATCTGCAAGGAAGGGGTTAGAAAAGGTTGACTCTAAAAATGTCACACCTCATCTTACCTCACGGATTTCCGTCTCCTGCGGTAAGGCCCTTTGAAGAACGGAGCTAACACATTAAAAACCTCCCACAAAAAAGCCGTGAGCGACCGGTCTCAAGCAGTTGTCTCTTGGGCTCTGCGGTCACGCACTCGGGTCGCCAAGACCAACACTAATCCGATTTCTTTTTCAGGTTCCTCAAGAAATACCCTTCCACGGTGTCGGCAACCGGGAAGTGATATCAGCCCTCATACCCGTAACAGCACACTGACTGACTGACTGCCCGCTCGCGAGACCAATAGGTCCTGGGTTCGAATGCCGCGTGTCAGGATCGTGGATGCGCACTGTTGAGAAGTCTTATAATAGGACGAAACGGCCGTTCAATACTTCCAGGTTTTCCATGGTGGTCTAGCTTCAATTTACTCATGATCTCAACTGTTGTAATAGGGTTCCAAAAATGAAATCTCCAGTGAAAATTGCTTGCTAATATCCTACAATCATTGAATAAATAAACGGAAAAATATCCGATAGTGTTGTTCACAACATCGTTATTGAACACTGAAGTTTTTACTAATAATTCCAGGGTTAGAAACTATCATCCGTTCCTTGTCACGGTGGTTAGACAGTATTATAGTAGCCGACTGAACAAAATGTTTCACGGTTCCATCTCATATTTGTACATAATGTGTAGATGAGGTGTCTATACTGTTCCTATTGTTTCTTAAACTGAACGCCACTACACTTTACTATTTGTAATCTTTACTGAGTATTTATATGATCATTGCATCGGGTCCTCTTTCAAAATCGATTCTTTTAAAGAAAAAAAGATAAAAACTAAGTTGTTTACTTCAATTTGATAGAGCTATACACACTGTACACCTTCAAATGAAGTTTTATCAAAAATTCGTTTCATCGATTGGTCACTCATTTGACAATGAAATTCTGATCTGATTGTTTCTCTTAGGATTTATCCTTGCGATGTTTCAACCATTTGAAGTTAATAAAGCCTCAGGTATATAGGCTTATCTGGATTAGAATCCACTTATCGAGGCTTGTGAATCCACTGCGTGAATGTGATTATATGGCGAAATCGTCGGAACCTCCTGGTCGTGGCGTGTGAGCATCGTATCAAGGGAAAGTGTAGTCTACACGCATACCAGTAACATATATGTTTTCAATCATACATCCATTGGGATACACATAGTTTTACATACCCTGTGCGCAAACATCCGCCACATGAACGCCGGTAACACTAGTTTTCACTCATACATTCCATAGCCTACATATAGGTATATTCACTCACTTGGTAGGGTAGGTGGTCTCCGCTCCCTTCGAACGTATGTGTTGCAATTGACTCTCTCATGCATTACATGCATACCACCGGTACAAAGACTTTAATCCATACACTTTATGACATACATATAAGCACAAACTTTCTCTCAGGAGGGTTGGTAGTCACCTCTGCCCAATATTTGCTGGCATATCTTTATATTATAACTTCAATCTGACGTTTTGGGGTTTGGTTTTACTAGACATACGACAGATATTTCTTTAGCTTATGTTACTTGTGCGAGCCCAGCCCACAGCCTTTGCATATACTTAAATACACAACTACACAAGTCGAGATCCATGCAATTCGTACACATAAGGATGCACATCGAACAGCCCTCCGCAGTTTTCACAAGACTCAAAGAGTGAACTTTGAGTAATCCAAGTACAGAATAGGAGTGATGGATTAGTCCGATCTCTTCATTGTTTATTCTTCACCTTTTTTAACACCGTCAGGTTTATTCATAATATCGCGTTGTTTTTATTTTCTCATTGATCTGTATATCTTAAATTATTTTTCATTTCTACACATTATTTTAATTAACTCACAGCCTCTTACTAGAACAATCACAGCATTTGCATTGGCTAAAATGTTAGAAAAAGATGAATCTGAAGAGGTGAGTACAAGGACAACATATTTTGGCTTCTTTAAATGAATATATTTACGTATAATGACATTTTATAAGTATGTGGATATGATGATACACGCTTTTATACAAATATCTGTTATTATGACTATATCTGACGCATTGAATTCATGAGATATTGATATTTTAGGTTGATTCTTTCAACGTGCACAATCCTTAGACAATTGAACTCTCAAAAGTGAAAACGTTTTTCATTTCAATTTTAATTCATATACACAGAAAGTCAAACCAAGATACAGTATCAGTTCATAAAATCACTCATTGTTGATCTGATCCATATAACTAGATCCAAACTACTTTATTAGGATCTGAATCATAAAGGCTATCAATGGTTGAAGACATTGGTTGATATTTATCATAATTATTCTCAACAACTCAAATACGTTCAGCTTATTTCCATTCTTTGATCTTGAGTTTTGAACTATTATTTAAAAAAAAATAACTGAATTCATTCAATATTAGATCATCATGGAAAACTTGTAAGCACTGGATGGCTCGGTTCATGATCTCAGTACGAAAACTCAACAATCTTCAATGCCCTGGGTTTGAATCCCGCGAGTGGGGTCGTGAATGCTCACTGCTGAGGAGTCTCACAATAGGACGAAACAGCCGTCCAGGTCTTCAATGGTGGCCTAAAACCAATCAATTCATGATCTCAATCAAAAATATATGTTTATATTTGTATTGAAAATTGTTTTCACAAATTGTTTAGTTTATTTTTTCTCTTTTTATTTCTTCATTTTTTCTTATCATTTATAGCCTGATCCATTTTTTCAAGATGTTTATTTAAAACAAAATTTCTTACCCATTGTACAAACACAATTATTTGATAATAATCCAACAGAAAATGAAGAAATGCTTATACGTATGAGATTATGGCTTATTCTTGCATTGGCTAAAGTAAGTTGTTCTATACTTATTGAGTTATTCTATGCTTATTAGAATGGTTATACAATTATAGTATTTATTGTTTATTATCTTCTCATCTTTGTTAATATCATCTGAATAATATCACTGGTACTTGTTAACTAATCTGATATAAAATGCAGAAGTTCATTATCGTGTGTTCAGACACAGAGACAAATTAAATAATTTGATTTTACCAACTTGAAGTACTGATTCGGGTTGCTTGAATATGTCCTACGAATAACATTCCTGCAAACTTCTAATAGTGCATTATTTTCCGACTCTTGAACTGTTCTCGGAAATGGTGAAGTGGTCAGTTTATGACACGGTGACATGGTATAAAACAACTATGTACCGGACTGGCTTCTGTTGGTAATCACCGTTTCCATCAATTTAATACACACAAGTTCTAAATTCTTTTTAGCTTACTTGTATGTAGTATGTGGTTTATTGTTAACTTTAATAACACGTTTTATGCATTTTGCTTTAAACATCGTAACTGTAAATTTTCATTGTATGATTATATTGTGATATTTTTCAATCAAAATCTTATTTCACGCATAACTTAATCGTCATGTTAGAAGATTCTCAATGGATTATTCTGTTGAGGTTTATTTGATATGAATGGTAATCATTTACTTAATGACACTTGGGTTTCAATTCTGATGATGCCACAAATTCTTAAGCTTACATTCGAGTTCGGTCAAAGTCGTAGGAGTGGTTTTGCTTCATGAATTATTTATGCATCATTATGTGTAAATAATAAGTGGTTGTAAAAATTCACAGCGATAAACTCAGCCCAGACATTTAAGGCAATTGGCCACATCGATATGGTGGAACAGGTGACGAAATGTACCAACTAATAACATAGTATGTAAACCATTTCATTGTCCCCATAGGTCTAGACGTTGAGCATTTGTGCACGTAAACAAATGTCCCTGGTAGCAGAATCGTAGATTAGCATAGTTGTGGAATTTCATACTGAGTTGGTACACTTGTCCTCTGCATCTTGGCTTCCTGTTATTGTTATTATTCTTGTCCCGTAATATTAACTATACTGTAAGAGAATTCACTAATAAACAATGAAGTGGACGAGAGAAATTACGCAACAAATACTGGTTACTTATAAGTAATATAGATATATAAATGAAAGAATATTTTAGTTCACATACATCGGTTTAATTATTCGTTTGTTTAGGAGAATCAATAATACAGGAAAAATGTATTTGTAAGATGTTGGAGAATGAATTTTAAGTAAATCCAACGTTTCGCCTGTCACTGAACCAAATGGTATAAAAATGGAAATGAATTTAATTGTATCCACTCTAATGATGAATAATTATCCGAAGGGTTTTATTAAAAGAATAATTAAGAATGAAGAACAAAATGATATCATTGAGAAAGGAGTTAAGCAAAAAGAATGGATTAACACAGTGGTAATCCCTTATCGTAATGGTATTTCAGAAGAGATCAGAAAGATTCTGACTCTTCAAAATATAAAAGTATTCTTTCGAACAAACAATACTCTGAGATCCAAACTAGTACAAATCAAAGATTCAATACACAAAGATGAACAACAGAATTGTGTTTATGAAATCAAATGTAATGATTGTAATGCAACGTTTGTAGGTGAAACATCAAGGCAATTGAATGTGAGGGTGAAGGAACACAAACTATGCTTAAAGAACATTCCTAAATCCTCAAATGATATAAAAAAAACTTGAGAACAAGTCAGCAATAGCATTACACTCGATTGAATCGGGTTATACAGTTGATTTTAATGGCGCAAGAATCATTCAAAAAGGTTTTAACTCTTACAAAGAACGACTAACAATCGAAGCCTTACATATTTGGCTAATTGAAACAGTATTAATAAGAGAGATGGAATACAATTAGCTGTCCCATGGCAACTAATAATTAATAACTAAACATGAACTCCTTATTCCATTCCATCTATATATATCATATTAACTAATCAATAGATAATACATTTAACTATTCAAATCAGTTATTGTATCTGAATATGTTACACAATTGACGGGGACACAAAAATAACACAAACTTTCAATTACAAATACATCCCTCTTTGAATTCAGTCTGTTATCTTGTTTACTTATCTTGTTTATTTATCGTCATTTAATACATGCTGTGGCATTTTGATTCATATCATATATTAAATAATATGTTTCCCTAATATACACATACCGATGAAATTTCTTCTCACATCACTTACGTAGACACACAATCTGTTATCTTAACACTTTTCGTTTTTCACAACACAAGTCTCTTACACACTTATGGAAATACTTACTTCAAATAGGGTTCACGTTGATTAGATCTATTTTATTCAGTATACAGTAAACTAGAGAACCATGTACCCCTATTTATATTCGATAATTTTGTTGTTTAATTATATTTTCCTTGAAAAATCTTGGACCAGATTGCCAGGCGAAATGTTGGATTTACTTAAAATTCATTCGCTGAGATTTTACAAATACATTTTTTTTTCCTCTTCAATGTCTCACATTAACTCAGCGCCCAAATATTGTGAAACTATTCGTTCAAATTTAGACGAAAGTTCTTATTTAGAATCAATAATAGTTTTTGAGTACATAACCGATATGTACTTGGTGTGAACTGGTGTTAAATCCTCCCCTAACTCTTCCTTGATTACTACAGGTCTCAAGCTCGGGTAAAAAAGGAGGGTTGTGCATACGGTCAACAACCCCACCTAAAAATATATGGTACATTTTTGTTAATCTCCCGTTTGTTTGTTTTTCTTCATTTCTTTATAGTTATGGTGTAAAAATGATGAAGCTCGATGGTTTGGTATACGACATAATTTACCAGAAGTACTTCTGGCTTATTTAAATGATATTTCACCGGAAGTATGTTGTGTATTTTTTTTATCAAGATAGAGGAGTATTTAATTTACATCATTAAGTTAGATATAATTTTTTATGTGTTTTCACAAAAATACTTTAATTCATATTATAATGAGTCGATGATAAGATTTCATTTATATTTGTGACTAAATGTTTACATGTTGTTTTCCCCCTAACGCATTGACTTTTGGTCTTTTTATGAGCTTACCAAATTTAAACAGGGATTATTGACGTACAATTTGAAACGATAATGTTTATTGGTTGAATTCATGACTCAATCTAAGCAAGACCACCATTGAAAATCTGGAAGCACTGGATGGCCGTTTCGTTTCAGTATGGGACTGCTCAGCTGTGCGTATCCACAATCTTGCACAGGCTGCTCCAACCCAGTACCTTCGGTCTCGTGCCTAACCTGTAGATCAATGCACTCGCATCGATTATTGATTTTGCACAACCCTTCATCTGTTTTCTGAGGTGAAAAACTGTCTCCATTCGTCACGGATTGAACTCCACTGGTCATGGTTTTTCTTTGGAACTCCAGCAGTTCCATTTTGACGCTGTTAACTAGTGAGCATGTGGTTATTATCAGTTCATAAGATTTGTGGAGATTGTAGTTCGAGTTATCCGTGTGGGATCGTCTGTGGGCACTACTGAGGAGTCCCGTGCTAGGACGAGACGGCCTTCCAGTGTCTTCAGGTTTTTAATTGTGGTCCATCTTAAATCGACTCTTGAATTCAACTGTTAAAATACTACGTATTCGACAAGCTCCCATACTGATTTTGTTTAAGCCCTAAGCGGTTAAACTGTTCATCAATAATCATCAATGCACTAATTAAAGAAATTTGCACAGTTCGATTCGGTTTTACTTTAAGTGAAACAGTATGTAATATGAAATTGACAGTAATCCATATACACTTTGTCTATTTTGACTGGTGTGTCTTAGCGTTCTTTCTTATTTTAACAAGATTGTTTTGTACGCAATGGGGTTACTAATCATATACCCATATTTTCTCTTTAATCTGAAATGGAGATTGTTAGTAACCCTGGAAGTTGGTTACAGGCAGAGTTATTTTAACAGGTAGATTGTTAAAGATAAATTCGTGTTATTTACCATATCCTTCACGTGGTTTCAGAAAAACTGCTTCAGTGCTCGTATTCGGTGGTAACATACAATTTTCAACCAGGCAGTGACTCGAGAACGTTTAGATAGAGCCGAATTTTCACCATAGGCGAGCTGCTGTCTAAGTCGAAAAGGATACATAAAGTGGGAATAAGAGAGAGTGAATAAATGAGGTGGTAAAATAATAATAATAATAATAATAATATTAATAGTAGTGCGAGTCATTTCATTGTAAATCGGAGCGAAAAGAATATTTTCCATAACTAAATAGTTCATCATGTTTTAGTGCGTGGGCTGGGATACTGCCCGGGTGCCCAGACCGAGGCAGGTGGTTTTCTTAGGGGGCCACGCCCCGAGCCTTTGACCTAATGGTCTAGTTCACAAGGCAGTGGAGCATCGTGAGGAAATGCAGTCCCATGGAAGCCGGTGACCAAAAATTGGTTCATACGCCATTTGTTCTTTCAGGATACTGGAGCCCATGTGCACCATTGATTTGGGATCCGGTTATCGCGCCGGACATTCGCTTTTCATCCTCTCATTTTCGTAAACAACACCCGTGGTGTGAGAAGGCAGTGAGTAGGACTTCCGTGGGAGAGGGTGTATACGCGTGGCCGTGTGTATTTCGAGAGGGAGGGCGATACACCCCACTCTCGGCCATACCAGGGCATTTGGGGGCAATGCGATTAGCAGAGCGTGGTGGTCACCATCTTGAAACACCGACTTCGGTGGCTTGGACATGTTTTACGAATGTCGTTTCAGAGAATTCCTCGTCGTGCATTATTTGCCGACTCTGGGACTGGTTGGAAAAAGCGGAGAGGTGGTCAGTATATGACATGGTGTCGTGATATGAAAGAAAGCTGCAAAGGACTAGCTTCTGTTGATCCTTCACGTCTCCCTGGCTGGGGTCCGAGAGACGGTGTAACGCAGTGGCTAGAGACGTTATCAGATATGTCTCAGAATAGAAGCCAAAGGCGATCCTGCAGTAACCTTCTTTTACTTTCTTCATAAAAAAGTGGTTGCTTCTTCCTTAACTGTAAAATTTCTTCTGATTGTACCTTTCCGTTTTCCCCATTATTTTTCTCTCTCTTTTTTTTTCTTTTTTTCTTCTTCTCTTCAAATTATCATTGTTTTGTGTGGCGCATATATATTTGGTGCCCGCTTGTACCAATATTTATGTGTTCAAATAAATAAATAATAAATACCATATCCTTCAACCCTCTCTCTTTTAATGTTTATGTGGACATTTCAGGTTCGAGCAGCTACAGTTTATGCTCTTGGCAATCTCATTGAAAATCAAACTACTGATTCATCGAAACAAAATCATGCAGATCAAGTGAGCTACATTGAAAAAATTTTTTTTTACGGTTTAACTTTATTTCTTTTAGCTTAATTTATTTTAAACACAAGCTTTTCTTGTCCTTTTAGACAGCATAATCAGTATAGATATTAATAAGTAAGAAGCTATTTAGGTTTCTCTACACCTGTTCTGTTGATTTTGGTCTTGATTGGTTATAATTGCTTCTTGTTCGGGATTAACTATTGATTTCTGTATGTTATTAAATGTTGATACCTCACTTGTGTCTGATTTCGATTTGTTTCTAGAAGGGACAGGATCATATGTGTATGCTACTGTTATGAAGAAGCTATTCAATACACTCTAGATCACAGTATTCTATCTAATGTTAGTTTTCGTTTGTTTTAGTTTATTCCATTAAATGTTCTAACAGTTGATCAATACTTACTTGTATTCTGTTAAGTTATGCCTGTTACCCCTCCTGAAGTTGCATAAACCACCCACCCGCATTCTCCATCCAACTCTGTCCTGGGAAATCCTTTTCACTTGTTTCCAAGTTAGTACTTGCTTCATGATGCAGTTTGGTGATTTCTACAATGTATGCTCTATTCACTTCCAAAATCTTTTTCTAATTTCCTTTTCAGATGGGAGCTGGTTTGTTCTCTCCCACAGTAGTCTGTTTCTGATGGTATCCTGTCGACGGACATTGAGTGTCTTACATAGACAATTATTTATAAACACATGTGCGTTTATGATGATGGTTCTAGTAGTCCACAAGTTTCAGCTTATACAGTAGAACCGTCTTGACGTCCGTATTTATGTTGTCTGACAGTTATTTTGAGTTCTATATGTTCTTCAACTGTAGGAATACTGTCCTAGCTTTGTCAGTCATTGCCATTACCGACATAATGTACTGAGTAGTAGAACTGTCTTAACATTCGTATTGAAGATTCTACATGACCAATATTATGTTATCTAATTATTGTATTTGTTCTCTATGCATTATATCGTTTAATAAAGGAGCTTTTATTGTCTCTTTGCACAACATCATCATCTGCTTTATGTAGAAGTGAACTTCTTAGTTATTCAACAAATGTTGTATCAGTTCATTCTATTGGGTTTATTTATGATCGATCATTATTATGGATTTCGTTGTCTTCATTTATTTTTCTCAGTTTTTCAGTTGGATTCTGATCTTGTGATTTGTTTGATCTTTGTCGTATAAGTTGATAGATTGTCCCTATTTGACATAACATATCGTAGCATATAACTTTCAGTCTGTGTTCATCTCTCTCAAACAATAAGTACAAAGCTTAACACAATGAAATCATCTAACTCATTGAATACAACGTAATTATTTGAAAGAACAAAAACAATCATCTAAGCTGCAAATCTTTTCTGTCATTACTTAATATTCCCAGATTGTATTGAATGATCTTGATCGAATTCCTCATTTTTTCTTCATTATATTTTTTTAAAGATAAGTCATGAAATTGGTGGTCAATTAGTCAAGTATTCATCACGTGATGCTTGTCCATTAGTACGTTGTATGGTTGTTGAAGCATTTCGTGGTTTAGTTAAACAATTTGAAGCACAATTATGCGCTATTGGTATACAATATATACAAGAAATATATAATAAACAATCTCAACAAAAATCACATCAAAATTGTACAAAATTATCATTACATTCAATAACATCATTCTCTTCAAAAAGACCTATGCGTCATAGTACAATAAGTAAGTGTATTATTTATTCTTAATACAAGAAAACTGTAGATGATATTCACAATGAATGTGATTAGTTCTTGTAAATATTTTAGAATAAATCATAACAAGAAACGTATATCACTCCATACGTTCAGAAATGATTAGAAATGAAATTGGTTACTGAATATTAGCAAGTAGTATAAAATGATACACAAAAATGTGTTAGATAAGTTAAACACACTTCACAGTACCTGTACATATAGTTTATTATAAATACTTCTTGTATATAAGAAGTTTAATGTTATTAATACCAATTCAATTTAACTGGAGGAACCCTCAAATAATTGGTTGCTGTGGGAATTAGAGAAATTTCTCTCTCCTTCTACAAATACTCTCACATAGCTACGTGTCAGTGAAATTCTTCTCGCGGCGGGGTTGGTATTTACGAAATTGACAGGATGATGTTTCATTTCTATGAACGAATCTGTTTGATCTCTTAGTCTATTGGCTGTTTTTTTGAAGCACGTTATTTTTACTCGGGTGTCTTGTAATAACAATAATACGACTTACATTTTGTCGTACGATATTCCATAAATCTCCAAACATTCTTTTTAAACGTAAACTCTTCATTAACCGTTTACAAAATTATGTTTTTCATTAGTTTAAGTGACGTAATTGAACATAGATTGAAATTAACAGATTTATTAATGTGCGGGTTTTTTCAACCACACACTTTTGACTGGATACCCTTTCGGTAATCTTTTGTCTAATCATTGTTACTTTTACTGCTTATAGTTCTCTGGTTTTGATGTTGATTGATTTATCTCACTGTACTGATGTTGTGTGTTAATTTCAACCGATGCGTGTATTTATGTCAGGTTCTAATTTGAATATATCTGAGCGATTGAAGGACTTGATCACTAATTAATACTGTTAACTGGTGAATAGTAACTACATAAATTCTACCTATATCTCAACATGAATTAGACCTCCAAATAATCAATTTATTATGCGATGAACTGTTTGCTTTCTGTTATATATTGAGGGCCGCCGAGTAGAGGGCAGTGGATTTCGATTAGATCAAGGAGGCGTAAAACACGTGCGGCCCCCAAATGCCCTGGTACGGCTGAGAATAGGGAGAGTCCGCTCTCCCTCTCGAAATGCTCTCACATGGCCATGCGTATATAGCCTCTGCCAGGGAAGTCCTACTCACTGCCTTCTCGTGGCGGGGGTGTTGTTTACAAAAATGAGAGGACGAAAAGCGAATGTCTGGCGCTTTAACCGGACCCCAAACCAATGGTGCACATGGGCTGGCTCTAGTATCCTGAAGGAAAAAATGGCATATGAACCAATCGTTGGTCACCGGCTACCATGGGACTGCATCTCCTCACGATGCTCCACTGCCTTGTGGGTCAGACGTTCAGGTCGAAGGCTCGGGGTGTGGCCCCCTAAGAAAACCATCTGCTTCGGTTTGGGCACCCGGGCAGTATCACAGCCCTCACACAAACCAATTGAGATTTGTGTGGCGCATATGTATTTGGTGCCTCCCTGTACCTATACTTATGTGTTAAAATAAATAAATAAAATAAATAAAACACGTGTGAGCGATCAAGTGTTCTGATTGGCCCTGTTTTCCGCCTAGCCCAGCCAATTAAATCCAAAATGCCAATATCAGCCTCTGCAATATGAATCTTTATATTTCAAACATACTGAGTTTATATACCAATCAAACAGACCACAACGTAGCATAAAATAGAGAATAACATTTGTACAAAATTTGGCCTAATGTTGCTGTGAATGTGGAAGATAGTGACTATTAGGTAGGGCATAATTCAAGAATGGTAAAACGTATAATAATGGTTAGTAGGTCAAAATAAAGCTTATAATAAGAGGAACATGAATATAAATAGTTTATCTAACTAACAATTATACGATAAAATTGTACGTTTAGTATTGGTCCACAAATGAATTCAAAAATTACCATTCATTATTTTTGTCGGGATATAGCACTTTTTAAAAGCGTTACCAATTTGAACGAACAGATAGTGGTCTGGGAACGATGAATGATGGCTAAACATCTTGAACATATGTATGCCGACTGTCGAAATAGAACGATTTTAATGGCCAAAGATTCGAAATCCTATCTTTTAAATGTAAAATGTCGTTACATTTCAAACAAAAAGACTAGAGTATATTTCTTATAAAATATAAGATTCCACGGAATCTTAAAGGTAGTGTTGTCCATTGATAAAAACGACATAACCACTCATCATCTTAGGCGCACTTATTTCACAGTCCGTAAAAGAGAAGAGCTTGCATTTTGAAAGAAAACTAAACGTCTGATTTGATGCTTTAAAATGATTTAATGTCGGATACTGAGTTTCTATTTCCGAATAGTTTTCCTATCGGTAGTTTTCTGCGTATTGATCATGCTATTTACTGTCACACTTCTTATGAAAAGCATGAAGCCAACTCTTCGGAAAAGTCATGTATTTATTATTATTATTATTATTATTATTATTATTTAAACACCTAAATATTGATACAAAGGGGCACCGAATAAAAATGTGACATACAAGTCACTTGATGTGTGTGTGATGCGATACAGCCTGGGTGCCCAAGTCGAAGCAGGTGGTTAACTTAGGGGGCCACGTCCGAAGCCTTTGACCTAGAGGTCTGATCCAAAAGGCAGTGGAGCAATTATTGATGTATGATATGTTTATGCATATATATAATACATATTCAAATAAACTTCAGTTGTCTATATTTTTACATACAATGTTTAAGTTATTGAGTTTTGAAGAATATAAATGTATGTATCCACTGCATTATTTTCGTCAAGACTATTCATCTATTCTTGTTTTCCTTAATCTTTTTTTTTAAACACAGGTGTAATTACTCCACCAGGAGGTGCGGGGAACGGTGGAGGCAGAGGTCTACACAGATCTCGTCAGTCAGAGTTAACATCTAATCATATCAATCTACATAGTGGTTGGTTTTTAACAAAATCATCAAATCGAGAAGTTGATCAACAGCATAACTACAATTATTATTATTATAATTCTCATCATAAATCTCATTTAATCAATACACAACCACAAGCTTCGCCAATTCTACGTAAATCTGTTTTCAATCCTGGTTCAGTGTTTTTCACTGGTTAGTTAGTTAGTATGGGTTATTTTGTGAATAGTATTCTCAACATCTCCTCTTATGTGCCCTCCCCCCCGATATTTTTCTACTGTATTTACTAACCACGGTTAGACTTAAAGAGATATTTTAGTGGTGATTTTTGTAAGTATGAGATTTATGGTTAAAGTTTGTAGACAGTTGGTGAAGGAGATACATCTTCTACTACTGGAGTGTGTAACATGATGTAAGGTGATCAGTTTATGGTGAACAATAATTTTATATAGGTTAGAATAGAGTAGTCTTTAGCAAATCATGCTAGGTGTTATCTATCATCAAGATGTATGTACCTGCTATGTTCAAGAAGCTGATACTCTTCCGCGGATTCAAACCTGGATCGTCTAGTTTTAAATGACTGTACACCTTGCACGAAGCATTTGTCGAGAGTTTACTGTTGACTCAATTTTCGATTGGTTTACTCATTTTGAGTTTTGTTCATCATGACTTCCGTTTTGATTCAATGTGATGATCATTCATTGTAGTATTTGATTTGTTTTCCCAGTATGATATTTTCTTCTGTATATTATACGATATTCTTGTATTCCGTTGACATGAACCAGTGTATTTTAGATCATCACTGTTATCGTCGTCGTCGTCGTCATAGTGTTTCGGGGCTAATAAATCTTCACTTACTCAGTGACCAATCAATTTAATAAGAGGGGTGTGGTTTAGTGTCTTATAATCCTAAAATCCATGTACCCTATTTGTTTGAAGTCAGTGTTTTTCTCATTCTTTATATAGGCGGATCATTTTTATTCACCAATTTAGTTTAATTGATGTACGTTAACTTTTTACCCTTTAACTTTCGTAAAAAAATACTACTGCTACATGAAGGCAGTGAGTAGAGTTTTCCTGTCAGAGTCTATCAACACAACCATATCAGGACATTTTAAGAAATGAGAGAGAGGGAGAAAGTGAGAGCAAACCATGCTCACTCTTGACCCTACCAATTCATCTAATAGTCAGGTATCAATTGCAGCCACATTTGCCAAACTATATTAGTACTAGATTGCGACGCGTCGTTGATTAACTTTAACTTTATATAGACATATTTAGTATCTATTGCATTTATTTAGTTGACTTTTTCATCTACATGTTATTTGAACAAGTGTATGTTGATCGTTTTTGTAGCTAACATGTCTTTTTTTAAGCAATAATAGTTCCCAATTTGAGTGTATAGTGTATTGACTATTGAAAATTGAGATCTAGGTCTGAGTGATTATTTGAAGAATGATTGAGTGACTGAGTGATATGACTGTGAATTGATTGGAATGGCAAATATGCCTTCACTGTTTATCACTCTTCAGAATTTGAGAGAATTCATTTTTACTTTCCTCAATCATATTGTCTATCTTTAATCCTTCTCAGTATTATTATTATTATTATTATTATTATTATTGATGGTACTGTTACTACTTATGCCACTGTGGCATTTCTCTTGATATGTTCATTTCACTTTACTGATTTGATACATCTATGTCTTGAACTGACTGATTGATGTTGAGAAGCGTTATGAATCATAGAAAACATCGTTGACTTGAAGCGATAGGTAGATTTTTGCAATGTTTTGTGTGTATATGTGTTTGCGTGTATGTGTAATAGGGAAGGAGAGAGGAACCTTTAAATGGTATGGCGTCAATCAACTGAAGATAATATTTGATTGTAGTAAGGCTAACAATCCAACGCACCCAGGTGTCCTGGTATGGTCGAGAGTGGGAGTGGAAAAAGTTCACTCTCTCATCTATAAATCCTCTCATATGGCCACACGCATATACTTACTATCATCAAAGTCTTACTCATATTCTGTCTTCTGGCGATAGGGCTGTTGTTTACGAAATTGACACGACAAAAACCAATCGTTCCATGTAAACTTAAACTAGATTGATGAATAAGGACGATTCATTTAGACGAGTTCGAAAACATTCCAAATCCAAATCAGTGATTCACATGAATTACAGGCTCTAAGGGAACAAATAAAGTATAAATCTATTGTTGTTCACTTGTTATCATGGGTACACTTCTCCTAATGTTGCTCTACTGCTTTATGAATTAGACCTCTAGATCAAAGGCTTAAGAAATAACCTCCCTAAGAAAGCTAATTGTTTCGGTTTGGGCATGCACATCAATTCAATGATTTATTGTTTATATGCTTGTAAAAATACATGATACAGTATACTATGTGTATTTCTAATGAGAAATGTTAGTTTTTTTTCTTTATGCTCGATGTATTCAGTATTTTGTTCTTTTAACATTACTCTCTCTCCCCCCTCTCTTTGTCCAATTATATATTATTTAAGGTAGTGGTAATACACCTAGTACAAATATCTACGTTCAATTTTGGCTTACATTAATTCAATTAGCTCAAGATCCTTATCCAGAAGTTTCTCGTCTAGCTACAATTTTAATACAATATCTGTATGGAAAGGTAAAAATCTTAAATGTTTATATTCTTATTTTTTTTACTACCTTCATTTATGTATCATATGTATCTATTGAACTAGTGAAAAAGACTTGTCTATTTAATGTTTAATATCAGAAGGGGTTTTGTGACGATTGTAGTAATTTCAATGGTTAAGATCATGAGTCAGTTGAAACTAGACCAGCATGGAAAACCTGGAAGCACTGGACGGCCGTTTCGTCCTACTGTGGGACTCCTCAGGAGTGCGCATCCACGATCTTGTCAATGGGTTAAATTTCAAATAAAACATTTTGAGAATTATTGGTTGAATCATTCAATCCTATTCACTTGTTAATTAGATTCCCTTAATTCATTAGATGTTAGTTTCTTAACTTGAAGTTGCCTGATCCTGTTTTCGTGTAGTGGGTTCAGTACTTTTTATATACACATCTTTTTGTTTTTGTTTTAATTCCAAACATTTAAATGATCCTATTCGATTTGGTTACTTACTTACTTACGCCTGTTACTCCCAATAGAGCATAGGCCACCGACAAGCAATCTCCAACCCACTCTATCCTGGCTCTTCGTTTCTAGTTCTATCCAATTGTTGTTCATTCTTCTCATATCTGTCTCCTTTTCTCTTCCTCTTCTACTTTGGCCTTGAGGTTTCCAGGTGAGAGCTTGGCTTATGACGCAGTTGAGTGCTTTCCTCAATGTGTGTCCTATCCACTTCTTGCGCTTATTCCTAATTTCTTTCTCCGCTGGAATCTGATTTGTTCTCCCCCACATTAGGTTGTTGCTGATAGTGTCTGGCCAACTGTTAATAAACACCTTTATCTTCTGGAAGATGGCTTTCGTAGTTTTCCAGGTTTTCGCCCCATACAGTAGAGCTGTCTTAACATTTGTATTGAAAATTCTGACCTTGGTGTTGGTTGACAATTTTTTGAGTTCCAGATGTTCTTTAGTTGTAAGTATGCTGCTCTTGTTTTTTCCGATTCATGCCTTCATTTCTGCATCAGATTCACCGTGTTCATCAATGATGCTACTCAGATATGTAAACGGTTTTACATCCTCTAAAGCTTATCCGTCAAGTGTGATTCGATTGGGACATGCTGCCTTGTATCGGAGAAGCTTGCTTTTCCGTTTTTGTATGTTGAGACCTACTGCTGCTACACTGGTCGTCTTCTCCTGCATTTTTTGTTGCGTTTGCGATAGAAGAGCCAGGTCATCTGTAAAGTGTAGATCATCCAGCTGCATCCTAGCTATCCACTGTGTCCCATGCTTCCCCTCAGACGTTGACGTCTTCATTATACAGTCGATCACCAGGAGAAAGAGAAAGGGTGAGAGTAAGCAACCTTGGCTGATACCGGTCTTTACTTTGAACGAGTCTGTCAGCTGTCCTTCATGCACGATTTTGCAGTTCAATCCATCATAGGAATTCCGTATGATGTTGACTATCTTCTGAGGCACGCCGTAGTGTCGAAGAAGCTTCCATTGTGTGGTCCTGTCCACATCAAATGCTTTCTCGTAGTCAATGAAATGGATGCAGAGTGATGAATTCCATTGAATTGATTGTTCCACAATGATCCGTAATGTTGAGATTTGGTCTGTGCACGAATGATGCTTACGGAATCCTGCCTGTTGTTCTCGAAGTTGAGCGTCCTCGGAGTCCTCCATTCTGTTTAACAGTACCCAGTTGAAGACTTTTCCTGGTATTGAGAGAAGAGTGATGCCTCTGTAGTTCTCACACTTGCTGAGATCGCGTTTCTTTGGTATCTTGATCAGGTGTCCTTCTTTCCAGTCTGTTGATACTTGTTCTTCATCTCAGATCTTGCTGAATTGGGTTGGTATTCACTGGTTTATAAACTTATTTAATATAGTGATCAATTTTATTTATCGTGACAATACAACTCAACTTTTTAACTGGACCTTTTAATTCAGTAGGTCGTACAACAAAATGTATTTCGTTTTCCCAAGTTGTGATTCTTCTACCTTCTATTGTAGTCTCTATAGTGTCATTCCCACCGACATTACCGTCTCATGAAATGAGGCTAATACTAAAAACACTATACTTTCAGATTTCCGGTATCACTGAAAGGCTTGAAAACTGCGGAGCAAATATATTGTTCATTGTTCACAAAAACCATTATACTTGACCTAATTTCTTGTTATGACAAGTTTTTCAGTAATCATCCAGATGTTGCTAAATTAATGTCTTCGAATATAGATTCAAATGTCAATCTCAACCATTATTCAGCTTTCTGATGCATCTTATTTCAACGGTTAATGATTTTATGCTCTAGCACTACAACTGTGGTGAACGAAGACTTGGTGGAAATAACTAATTTATTGTTAAATGCAAAATTACAGTATGCCTTTGTTAAATATTACAACTATACATTAAATGCATCATTTGCTCATCTTCCATCCATTGTCCATTACACACTTCATGATTCTGTTGTTATTAGAATTCTTTTCTGTTTACAATCCTGTTCTCTTCAACTCGATTTCCTAAGCCAGGCATTGCACTTCGGATTAGTGCTACATACTCCTTCTATCTGTCAGCATAAGTAGCATACACCGCACTACTTCTATTCCCACCATGATCTCATCAGCACTTTTCTAGACTACTGATATTCTTCTAGCCAGTGGTTGAGATTACGTAAGTGATCACTCGTGTGTGTGTGTGTGTGTAAAATACATGGGTATCATTCAGTGTAGTTTACAATGTTTCACAACTCTTGCTCTATAAATAAGTTCTACGATTTTGCTTAGTATGGTATTTGAGTAACTATGGACATGATAATTTCTTTATTATCTATTTTCTTGCTTCTCTTTTTTTCTCCCTTGTGTAGATTCGTGAAAAGGTATGTAATGTGTTGATTACGTAGTAAAATTTGGATTTCATTAATTTAATGTTATTATGGTATTGTATATTAGTTATCAGTCAGTCAGTCAGCTGCAACGTAGGATCAGGCACGTATATGCATCGGTCCAAGTTGCCATACCACATTAGCACAACAAGATGAACACCGGATTCATAGAAGTAGTTAATTCAGTGGTGGTAATATATAGAAGAAAGATTGTGTATAAGGAGAAAGTACAGGAAGAAAGAATTAGTTCGTAGAAAGAAAGATTTGAAGTAATTTTAATCTCTTAGTTTCAAGGAAGACAGAGAGAGTATACACCGAAGCCATTGTGATCGATTGTGAGCCATGTCACCAAGAGTCTCCAAGCATTGGTTACGATAGTCTCGCGGACCCCAACCAAGTAGTCTGCATCTACCAACATGGCTCAGACCAGAAGTTAGTGACTTCAAGCACTGATGCCACGTTTTGGTTTGGCCGCCCCTAACTTTCTTCCAATTATCCCCTGCACTAGTCAGCATTGCGCGTCGTGGTAATCGGTGTTCAGGCATACGCAGCACGTGGCCCAACCATCTCAGTCGATGAAGGTTCATAACCTCATCAACTGATTTACCATCATTCCCTAATACCCTGCGTCTAACCTCACTATTACTTACCCGGTGATCCCAGCAGATACCCGCAATATTTCTAAGGCATCTGTGGTCAAATACTAGTAACTTACGAATATCTTCTACTCTTAAAGGCCAAGTTTCGCAGCCGTATAGTAGAACGGAACGAACTGCCGCGCAATATACTCGTCCCTTAATTGATAGACGGATATCTTGCCTTCGCCATAGATGACGTAAGTTGGCAAAGGCCAAACGAGCTTTTCGAATCCGTGCTGAGT